TGGTGTACCACAATTTGGCGCTAATATTGTGAAGCTTGCGGTACAGCGTCTCCTTGAAGGCCGACAGCGGCAGCACATTGTCCACATTGAAGCGCTGGCAGGCATAAGTCGTCAGCGTAGGATCTATATATTCTCGCTCCTCCGGCTGGAAGAGTAACGCGCGCAGCTCCATCAGACGATTACGCACTAGCACGAGCACCATGTCGGGCAGCAGGCAATCGCAGAGGTATGCGAATTCGGCCAGCTGTCGAACCGGCTGACCATAAATGGATCTAACGCCCGCTATGATCAGGGCATGGGTGTTGCCACGCCTGCGCTCCGAATGGCTCAATCTGTCCATGATGGCCCAGCGATGATGGGCGACCTCCTTTGGTATCATCACCTCTATGCGATTCGGATCGTCTTTCGTATAGTCGGTAGTTCGCCATTTGATTGGCGGCTGACGTTGCCGCAGCTCAGCCACCGAAAGCGGATTCATCATCTTGGCGAATTCCGAATCTTCCATGCTGACGGGCTCTGGCGGCGGAGCTGGAGCTGGTGCTGGTGCTGGAACCTGGATAGGAGCTGGTTCCGGTGCAGGCACGGGAGACGGCGCCGGCGGAGGCGCCGATTGCATAAGTTCACAAAGTTTTTCATTACAAAGTTGACTCTGCGGCAACAAAAAATTGACCCAGGGTCGGAAACCTTTGAATTTTGGCAATGCACGAAACATGATTTATAAAAATAAAATATGATAATAAATAATCTTAATATAAATATGGCAACTTTTTAAAATTTTAACATAGAGTGAATACAAATGACAAGACAAACTGAACATTAGTTCAGCCGGAAGTTGTATTGCTACCAAGCAGGCTTTGCGAGGGAGAGCTTATGAGCTTGCTCGACTAGCGAGACATCCTGTACAATAATGAACAATAACAAGTTTCAATCTACTCACTTATGCACTGCGATGCGGTGCCGGCAGCTTCTTATGGTGAGATGAGCTATGGCTATGCCCACATTAGCGCCAAGTAGTACCGTTAGCCAGCCGCGCCACCAGCCGAACAGGTAGCCAGCGGTTATCAGCAGCACAAGGTAGCCCACGACAATGGGGAAGCTGACAAGCGTGAAGAGCGCCATGAAGATGATGAAGATGATCCAATGATTCTGCGTTTCGATCCAGAAGAGCAACTGCTTGGCATAGTTGCGCGTCAGGTAGCCAACGACGAGGATGAGACCCAGCAGGGCGATGGGTACCAAGTAGCTGAGGTACCAGTTGCGCATGATGAATGCGTGCGCACGCAGCCAGCAGGAATTGCGGCGCAAATAGGCGGCGCAGGAGGACGACGAGGAGGAGGAGGTGGTGCGAGTGTGACTGCGTCGATTGTTGGTGCTGCTGCCAGCGCTGGGATTCACAATGAGAAACGCATCACGTTCGCTGCTCTCCTCAATGGCATTCTCTGCACAGCTGTTGCCATCGGCTGCCGTCAATGGAATACCCAAGTCGCAGCTGGTGCTGACGTTGGCTTCCAGTGGAAAGCATATGCTTGTGCCGTCGTAGCTGTTGCTCTTTATTAGCTGCGGGCAGTTGCCGGAAACGGCGACTGAGCCTATTCCGTGTACCAGGGAATCATCCATAGTTGGTTTTTGTTTGTATTTGTGCATGTTGTTGGCATATCTGAAGTTGTTTTTATTACTATTTATATTGCTAATGTTGTTGTTGTTGCAGTTCAGTTCCAGTGTTCCAACAGAGGCGCTCATTTTTCAGGCTTGGAATGTGCCCAAAAAAAATGTAGCATTTACAGTTATTGTTTGTATATCCCCTTTCTTCCCCCTTTCGCATGTTTTATTGGCACTTCATTTTCTCTTTCACTTCGCATTGTTTTGCTGCTGTCACTCCAAGAAATTTCACTTTTACATGCATGTGTATGTATATATGTGTGTGTGAATATGTTATAAATAAATAGATAAATACACAACTCGCAAATAGGCCGCCAACGATGCCCTTTTTCACTCATACACAGCGCATTCACTTAATTTATTTCAATAACAAATTTAGCTTTTATTTCTTTTAATTGAATTAAATAAAAAATACTTTTAATGAAAGCACTATCATTGGCTTTTTGGTATGAAATTCGAACGGGTTTTTTTTAATTTTAAAACAAATAATTTAAAAGGCATTCACAATTTGTCTTTAAGTCTACGAAGTTTTTGTTGCAACTAGACAGACAAACGGCCTAAGCGCCAACACGTCCAACTACGTCGAAACGAAATAACAAACTAAAAGCTGCAGTGTGACCGCAACCCACAAGTACTAAAACCTCAAAAAATACATAATATATAAATAGACAAAAATGTATGCGCCGAAGTTTGAATACTCTTTTTAAACAGATGGTAAGAATATAGAAACCAATTTCAATTCAATTAAAAGTTAATATACATATATTTTTAACATACACATAATATACATATATAAGAAAATTACTATTTTATTCCAGTTCCTGTTCGCTGGGTAGCTTCTTGGAGTTGCGCGATACACTTGCTATGCTCTCCTGATCCCGCAGAACCACAAGGCGGAGAAAAGCCAAATTTAACAGAAAAGCCTGCCCAAGCAGCTCCCTTTGATAGCGCTCAACCTTGGAGTACATTGTGCGCAAATCTGAAGGAAATTGCACTTGATTTTGCAGATTACTCTGTTCGTCTTGATCTCCATAATCCTCCATATTATAGTACGTCCGCATCATGCCAAGAATTGTTTCCTCTGAGGAAACGCGTTCAGTTCCCACCAGATGATTGAAAAGGCGTGCGGTAAGAAAGCGACGAAGGTAAAAGACGTTTTTTTTGCTCTCGTCGGAACTGGTGCGCGACATCAAAGCGTAGCTTAGCATCGAAGTGACTTGCGCCTTCTGGATGTTCACATTCTGTTGGTCAATGCTGCCAGGATTGCTGCTGGCCTGTGCCATTTGTGGGTTCTCCAGGACATAGCAATCAGCTTGAGGTATTTGATGAGCGACATAAAGGCAACGGCGCACAAGCTCGGCCAGATGTAATTTCTTGTCGTTTATTTCGTGATGCTGCCAGTGAGTCAGCAGACTAGGTGAGTATTTAGTCTGTGGCAATTCCAACCTTGCCCAACTAACGCTCGTAACTCCTATCCGCACTCCAACAGTGGACGAAATGCACAGCCTTTGCTGCTCATCTAAAGCTGGTGTAATAAATGGCGCTGTCCGGGAAGCCTTTGTAGTTTTAGTGCCACTCGAAGCACTGGGCGCCGGTTCCAGCAAACTCTTATAAAACTTGGTAACCACCTTTAAGCCAAAGCCATCAATGAGGAATATATCACTTAGCTCCCGCAGTGGACCGTTTCGCGTCTTCCAGTTGTTCAGTTTGTTAACACGCGCTTTTGTTATATCATACCTAAAAAGAAAGACAGTAACTAAACTTTTTTTTTTTTTAATTTGCTAAATACAAACCTTACTAGTTGCTCAGCACCTTGTTGGTTTATTGCATTTAGAATAAGCTTGCTCTGCTCCTCTGTATAAGGCGGCAACTCCAACGGCGGCTCTGCATCTTCAATTATAGGTTCTGCAGGTGGTTGTTTTCCCAACTGCCTAACAAAATTTGCACTTACCGCACACAGCCTACGTTTTATATTAAAAGCAAGCATTATTTAATTCAAGAGTATATGAAAAAAGGAATTCAAAAATGTAATTATGCAAAGCGAACAGGTTGATTGTTAATAATGCTAGGAGTGTGACCAGCCAAAAAAAAATATTCCAAAATACAAACAGCTGATCGCAGCTGGTGCAGCCAAACAGCTGTTGGCAGCATCCGAATTTTCGGAAACTTAAATAGTTAGTAAACACGCAGTACTGGCTAGGTGTGTTACATACTCTGAAAGTCGGTGCAAACATTAAATTCACAATGCAGTTTTCCTGGATGAAGCTGGCTATTTATTTGCTAACATTTTTGACATACGCCTATTCTGGTTATGGATCGAGCACAATTGTGCATCTAAGAGATGCAATTATAGCGGCTGAGGCACTTTTCGGCGACGTCTTCAAGAATTTCATCACAATTGTGCGTAAATTTCGTACCGTACATGAGGTATTCGATGCTGCCGTCGAGGAAAACTGTGTATTTCAGTGCCCAGTGCCCGAAGGCGGCGGAACGGGTAAGTAGTTGACGCACACATAGATATTATTATGTAAATGAGATAGCCTTATACTGACGTGTTGTTTGTCTTTCAGCACCGCGCGCAGTGCAAAATAAGTTCTATGTGCCCACCGCTGATGGCTGCGGTTCTTTGGGTCTGAGAATTAGTACGGAATACCTACCCGCCGTCGAAATGGAAGCATGCTGCAATGCGCACGATATTTGCTACGATACTTGCAATAGCGATAAGGAGCTGTGCGACTTGGATTTCAAGCGTTGTTTATACAGATACTGTGACAGCTATGAAAAATCTATTGCCAGTGATCTAATGATGAAAGGCTGTAAAGCGGCCGCTAAGATGCTATTCACAGGCACCTTGACATTAGGCTGTAAATCTTACCTGGATTCGCAGCAACGCTCATGTTATTGTCCTCCTAGCAAACCAAGTAACTTCAATGGCAACAAGTACACGAATAGCAAGGAAAAACAGCAGAGGCAGAAATACGGCTGGAAGGACCGTAACGAAATCTAGCACCTGGATAAAGACGCTATTTGTTGTTAATAAGTTCATGTTAGTTTTTAGTTATGGTTGTACTTTTTTACCATTTTGACGAATTTTTCTAGCTTAATACCAAAGCTAGCAAAGACTCAGTATTTGTTTATAACGCAGATTTCATGTTTAAAATGTATAATTTATGATTTAAGCAAAACCTACAAGTTGGCTGAGCATTATGTTAAAAATAAAGAAATTATTTTTAAATTTGGCTCGTTAAATCGGTATTTCTATATAAGGGTCATAGTTATCGATATTTTTGGGCTCAATACAATAATAAATTCGTTATCGATTCGTCGATTAATTGCTACATATTTTGTCGTTTGCAGCACTACACTGAAACTCTAATTGCATTAACCAGCACTAAAACAACACAAGCGCAGCAAAAAAAAGATTTTGCAACAAACTGAACAAATTTTTTAATGTAGGTTGTCATTTAAAAATTGTTTGCAATGGGCTATGATGTCAATCGCTTTCAAGGCGAAGTAGACGAAGAGCTAACATGTCCCATATGCTCAGGTGTTCTCGAAGATCCACTTCAGGTTTGACAATAACTACAACTACAACTAAAAACACATTTCATTTCGAGTCTCAAATTATTCCACAGGCGGTCATGTGCGAGCACGCCTTCTGTCGTGGCTGCATAAATGAATGGCTGACACGCCAGCCCACATGCCCAGTTGATCGTAATGCCCTAACTACTGCAAATCTGCGAGCTGTGCCGCGCATATTGCGCAACTTGTTGTCCAGGTAACTCTTTTGCACGACTCTTGTTTTTCATACCTAGCTAATGAGCGTTTTCACAGGCTCTCAATTACCTGCGACAATGCGCCTTATGGCTGCACAGCTGTGTTGAAGCTGGATGCCTACAATTCGCATTTGGAAGACTGCGTGCACAATCCAAAGCGTCCATTTCCCTGCGAAAAAGGCTGTGGCTTTGACATACCCAAGGACGAGCTCAAGGATCATAACTGTGTGCGTGAGCTGCGTGTGTTGATTGTGAAGCAAACTGAGCAAATAGGCCAACTGAAAACGGAAATAACCGATCAGCAGCTAACTATCAATGAGTTGAAGCGAGAACTGCAGCTATTTAAAGATTTTATGCGTGCCATGCGCGTCTCAAATCCGGCAATGCGCGCGATTGCTGATCAAATGGAACGTGATGAGGTGATACGATGGAGCAGCGCTTTAGCCAGAGCGCGTGTTACACGCTGGGGCGGCATGATTTCCACTCCCGATGATGCACTGCAGGTAAATATTCACTCATTTAATGATAGCAATTAAAAATGTATTGTATATATGTGTTAATATGTAACGGTCTTACAGCTGATGATTAAGCGTGCTTTATCGGAGTCTGGTTGCCCGCCACACATACTGGATAGCTTAATGGAGAACTGCCACGAGCGACGCTGGCCCCGTGGCCTCAGCTCTTTAGAAACGCGCCAAAACAATCGACGCATCTATGACAATTACGTGTGCAGACGCATACCAGGTGAGTTTGCGTGGAAATCAATTTAGTGTTCAGTGTCCCTGACTAAACAAAGGCTTTGTGATTGCAGGTAAACAGGCAGTGCTTGTGCTGAGCTGTGACAACGTGCACATGACTGAGGATGTGATGGTCGAGCCGGGTCTGGTTATGATCTTTGCGCATGGAATCGAGTAATCGAGTTTCTCATGCGGCAGCTACATTCAACTAATTAGTAACTAAATACTTAATTGTATATCAAACAGTGCTCAGTTTTGTTGTTTTCTCGAAATAATGCATATACCTAAGCATCAACACACTCACACACAGACACGCACACACCCACACATTTGTCATATTAATCATTTTAGCATTAATATTAACTCGAATGCACTCTCAGAACTAAAAGCAAACAAAATACAAACCATTCAAGCGCCTCATGACGACTTTCAAGTTGTAGTAAAGAAATTTATATAGAACTTTGTTCCCCCACAAACAAAACCACATGTCGTTTATGATGTATTTGCACATACGCACATGTATACCCTCGCACATGTCTGTGTTTGTGGTAATCATATTTTTGTAATTAAGCGATCTCAGCAAACAAACTTTTGTTATTGTTCTCTTCAATTTCGCTGGATGCATTCAATTTGTGTCTCTTATATAATTGTGGCTTTTATTTAAGAAACTTAAATAATTTACTTAATGTGTAATTAAATTAAAAGAAATTTTAAGTATTCCATATTTTTATCAAATAAAACAGAATCTCAAGTGTAAGCAAATTGTATTTGACTTTGTTTAGCTCAGCTGCGCAATCGCATTAAAAAAGTTTATTGGGTTGCATTATCTAAGCTTTACGTTGCCCCCACGCACACACTCACACTTATCCCAGCGCAGACAAGAGTTCTGGGCATCATCTGTTCCCGAAAAGGAAATCCAATAAGTCGTCTAACCAATGCAACAGTAACAACGATATCAAACTGGTTCCTGTCTGAGCTTTGACAAAAAAAAAATAAAGAACCACAAACCGGTTACGGCTCTCGTAGACATGTTTTTTGTTTTGTGCGACTCATTATACAAACAATTGTTTAAATGATATGTCTTCTGCATGTCGACGCTGTTTTGCTTTGTTACATATGCCAAAAATCGATTAACGAATGCGCAGATTAGCCAAAATTTAAATATCAATAGCGGTTTTAGCACTTCCCGCCGTCAGGGGGCGCCCCCTGGCGCTTGAAAAGTGAGAGTATCAGTGGAATAAACCGCAATCGGCGCGCTTAGCTTCCAACAGTTGTCTACGCATCGCCGTTGCGTTCGGACGTGCCGTTGGAGTATTCAAAAAGTTTTCACCGCAATCGTTTAATAACGCCATGAATTTGTCAATTTGTATGCTAATCTTTGCGGCCGTTTGCCTTGCTGCGACGTCGGCCACGACACAGCTGAGGCAACGAAACGAGAAGCAGGTTCTGGAGGAATTGCGTAATTATCAAAAACTAATCAATTCCTATTGAATAACAATACTAATTGATGTGTTCGATCGCACAGCTCGAAAGGGCGCTACCATCGAGGAGGTTGTGCTCGAGTCTAATCTGCACATCAGGCCCAAGGCACGACAGAACGTGAGACGTGTTCGATCGCTGCTGGATGAGACACTAAATGAAATCTATGCGGCGCACAAGCGAGTGAAGCGTCAGGGACGCTTCCGTGGTGGATTTGGCAGCAACTCGCAAGTTGACACAAGGGCTGGCGGCGCTTCGAGTGGCGTCAATGTGGGTGCTAATCGTCATGGCGGCACTGCCGGCGCCAATGTCAATTTCCAGCCATTTGGTCCCTTGGGCTCCAATGGCTACAAACAGGAACAGACAGCCTCCAATGGTGCAGCAAGTAGCAACTTCAACGATCGCTTCAATTCCGGCTCATCGGCGGCCAATGCCCAGGCCCAGGGCTTCCAGTCGCAAAGTAATCTTGGCTCTTTCGGCGCCTCCTCCACCAGCACAGCCACTCAATCGCAAAACTTGAGTCCATTCGGTAACAGCAACTCCGCCGGTGCCTCCCACAGTCAAGTCTTCAAACTCCCCAACGGCCAGACCATCAATTTCGCCTCCACCAACAATTTCGCCAATAGCGGATTTGGCAACACCGCCGGCAGCCGTGGTGGAGCGGTTTCTGTGACAGGTTAATGACATTAATGTTATACGAAAATGTTGTGCAACTATGTGGAGTCGATGTCCAATTTCTACTCTTCTAACACCTGGGGCACTTTCGAATTTTTTTGCAAAATTATTAACAAAAGAAACTAGAAACTGGAATTGCCCACACACACACACACACACACGCATGCACGTAACAGCATATACAACTTATTTGCTTACCAATTAGTGGCCATTAACCGGAGTCTGCCAACTCCGAAATATATCGCATGTCAATTTGATTAAAATGTTTGAGCTTTAGTTTTATTATTGTTTGTTTGTTTATGATATCGGCTTAATCGTAACTTAGTCGGATTCGCTTTCACTCTCCGATTGGAAATCGCCCACTTCAATGGAGAATGTGTACTCCTGATCGCATCCCAGATATGAATCGCTCATGTAGTACAGCGTATAATCGTGCTTGCCTGGACTGGGCGCCACAAAGTCCAGCTTGACTTTGGCCTTTTGCTGCAGCGTTAGCCGTTTGATGGAGAGCAGCGAATTGGTCTTTGGATCCCCGATAACCACCCACCAGCCCTCCTCGCGCTTCTGCGGGAAGAATGGCGCTATAACCGGGCCGGTAACCTCATCCTCACGCTCGAGCTGCACCACCACATTAACTGTGGATCCAGAATTGATGCGATCCTTATCAACCACCTCGTAGTTGAGCTCAATATTGGGATAACGATTGCAGAAGCGTGCCACATCGGCCATTTGCACATCGGACAACTGCAGCAGGCGTGTGCGATCCTCATCCTCCAGCTCCATTATGTCGAAAACAGTTTCAATTTTCTGCAAGCATATCAAATGAGAATTAACATAGATCCAAATTTACTTCGATCTTAATCTTACCTTTTCTGTGCAGCGTTTTATGATGTCAGCATTGAAGTGTGGCAGCTGCCGCAAATACGAATCCTTGCTCCACATAGCCTGCGTAACCATTTGAGCCAGTTCCATGGCAGCCACAGCTGGCGATAGCCAGCCATTGGAGCTCAGCACATCCACACAGGCCTGTATCAGGCGTATTGCTTTACTGAGTATTTGCTCCGTGTCGCCCTGAAGCTCTGGACCCAGCTGCAGACGCGAGAGATGGGCTTGAAGCAACAAGTTGGTCTTAATGTGAGGATCATTGAATCTGCAAGGAATTGAAAATGTATTTAATGAAAAATAGGATCAAAATTAATTATATTCCAGTATTTACTTGGGTGCTGTTTCATTGGGTCCAGTTAGCTTGTTGGGCAAGCGCTGGGAGAGCGTGCGCAGAACCTGTTCCTCGTGGTGCCGCACTACAACATCCTCATACTCCGCTGCCGATGAAATAATCTCCAACAGGCCTCGTACTTTGGTCTTGCTGTTAAGCGACAAACTGAAGAGCTCTGCAAAAAATTGTTTTAGGATTAGACAGGATTACTAAAGAGAAAACAAACTTAGATCGTACCTATAGTTGTATAGTTAATGTAGTAGTAGGCGGCAATCATGCCCAGATTCAATGGCAACGTATCCATGTCATCCTCAACGCTTATGCACTTGGATTGCTCCAGATCGCTGAGCGTGTTCTCCACAAGCTCCGACAGATGATCGGATAAATGACGATGTGTCACACCTTGCAGATTGTAATAGTTGGGATTCTGGGTTAATCTTCGATAGAGGAATGTCCAGGTTAGATAATCGACGGCATCCTGTTTGTTCTCAATGGTTTTGGTGACCACCTCGGCATTGAAATGATCGTGTAAACGGTGGTCCAAATGGCTTTCGATCGGCAGCGGCTCGTTGATGAATTTCTTGAAGAAATCCTTCTTGGAACTCTGACACATCAGCACGCACTTAGCATCCGCATCCTCGTTGGGTCTATTGGCGCGTCCAATCATTTGGAGGACATCCGTAATGGGATAGTCCTCGTACGAATGATTTTTGCCATTGTAGAACTGGGTGTCCATGACGATAACGAGATGTGCCGAGATGCTCATGCCCCAACAGAGATCCCGAGAGACAACAGCCAACTGCACAGCTCCCGAATCAAAGAGCTGCTCGACCAGGCGATGATCTGAGGCAGACAAACCCTCGTGCAGATAAGCAACGCCCTGAGCCAGCGTCTCCTTCAACGTTTTGTCCGACATGCGCTCGAGGAAGGGCTGGATATCGTCCTCCTCGGCATGGAAGAACCGATTCGGCTGCAGATCCGAGGCAGCATACGTCAGTATATCGATGGCTGTGAGGCGCGCCTGTTTGCGCGACGATACAAATACAATTACGGGTTTATGCGGGCTGTACTTGAGTATGGCATTGTACACGGGCTTGGACATGGTTGCAATGCGTGTGGCATTGTGAGTGACATTGAAGCCCTGTATGTGCAGCTCCAGAGGTATGGGTCGAACGCTCGGATGAAAGTTGAACGTGGCATTGGGATTGCAGCCGAGCCACTGGGCCACATCGCGGGCATCTGTCAACGAGGCGGAGAGGGCCACGATGCGAATCTGCTTTTCAATTTGGGAGCTGATATAACGCATGCGCGAGCAGACGATCTCCATGACGGGACCCTCCTCGCCGCCCACCAGCTGCAGTTCATCGACAATGAACAGATTGATCTGCTGCACATTCTTACGCTGCTTCCAGCGACGCGACAGCACGTCCCACTTGTCCGCGGTGGTTATAATCAATTGTCCCTTGGCAATGAGCTTAAGATCTGTGCCCGTTTCGCCAGTCAGTTTGACCACCTTGATATCCAGACTGCCAAACTTGGCATGCCAGTCGGCGAAGACCAGATCGGCCAACGCCTCTTGGGACACCAGATAGACACAACGTCCTTCGCTGCTCTGGCTAAACAAGCGCATGATGGCAAATTCAGCAATGGTCATCTTGCCAGATCCCGTTGGAGCACCCACAAAGACATTCTCATCGCTGTTGTAGACCGCGTTGAAGACCTGCGTCTGTATGGGATTGAACTGCGGGAAACGTTGCGAATAGAATGCCTCGAACTTGGGCTGGCGCAAAGCGCTGATGGGCAGCGGCTGCAAGTCCAGCAGTTCCGTTGGTGGCATGTTCTTCTCGGGCAAAATGAGATGCCGGAAGGAGACGGGCAGCTGTGTTTCCGCTCCTATCCAGCGATCGGAGACAATGCGTAGAAAATATTGTGGGGGCAAAGGCTCAAAAACTGGCACAAAGAACTTCAGCTGATGTTCATCCTGTGCATACTTCTGTTTGAGCAAGAAGAATTCATGATGCAATATCAGCTCCGAGTCCACATCCTCAATCAACACCCAGAAACCTTCGGATTGCCCGTGCACCTTTTCATCCCACTGAAAATCGGGGGTTATTGTCAGCTCCACGCGCAGCGTTGATCGCGTTATGGGCTGGATATGCGTAGACAGCTCGAGTTTGGGAAACTGATGCACGAATTTGTGTATGGTCTTGCCCAGCTTGGGCACACGTATCAGCTCGCCCAGCTCATGCGGCTCCAGATCGTACAGACGCTGCCAAGGAAAGTGTTTCTTCTCCAGCTTCTTGGCGATTTCATCAGGCATCTTCTTGAATTGGCGCAACGGCGTCATCGACTGCCACATGCGACGATCAATCATCTTGCACAGTGTCAGCGTTTTATCCGCCAACTGCGCCCAGCCACGCGTCAGCACAATCTCAAAGATGGCGCGCATTAGACGTGCAGCCGATTGTGTGATGAACACCATGTCGGACATCAAGGCGAAACCCTCTAGCTTCAGCTGAGAGATGTACGCCTGCAGCAGCACATTCACCTTGGCGCTGTGCTCCTCAATGGATTCCTTGATGGGTATGGGCACTCGCTCCATAAGCTTCTGCAGCTCCAGTTTCTCCTCCTCGCGCACAGAGATGTGCTTGAACTCCGACGACAAAGAAAACACACGGAATAACTCGATTTCACTCAGAGTTTGCTTTAGCAACTGATTGTAGGTCAACATTGTCTCATGGGTCAGATAATAGTGAGATGCAATGCGGCCCAGATCCGTGACCTGGAAGTGGCCCGTCTTTCGGTCGTATTTGATCAAGCCACTGCGTTCCAGACTACAGGCAGCCGTATGCAGCAAATCCGCGCGATGCTGCTCCAGTAGCGGATCTGCTTTGATCGCATCATGCGAAACGCCATACAACGTGGGATTGCGAAGCATACGTATGTAGAGGTATGTATAGCCCAGCCAATTGACTGCATCCTGCAGATGTTGCACGGTGCCAAGCACAATCTCAGCATTCAGCATGTCCGGCAACTTGGAAATGAACTGCGATTCAATGGGCAGCTGCTGATTGAGCAGCGATAGATAAAACTGCAGCTCGCTGTGGTTCGTAATGAGTATGCCCTCGCCCTTGGTGTCATACTGGGGCCGACCGGCACGTCCCAACATCTGCAGCACATCCAAGGCGCTCAGCTCCACCCAGCGGCCCTTCTCCGGATTGTACACTTGTGTGCCCTTGATGATGACCGTGTGGGCGGGCAAATTCACACCCCAGGCCAAGGTGGCCGTCGACACCAGCACCTGAATATGCCGATCAGCAAAGAGATCCTCAACTAGCGTACGATCCACGCGCGTCATGCCAGCATGATGTATGGCAAAACCATATGGCAGCAATTCCTTTAGCTCTGTATTCTTCACCTGCTCCGCCTCGGTACGCAGCACTTCCATGCTGGCCGAGCCCTCGCGCAGAAAACTGCCCAACGTGTCCTGCTCGAGGCACATGTCGCGCACTGCACGCGCCGTCTTGCCCGTCTCTTTGCGGGAGTGCACAAAGACTAGCACCTGGTTGCGACCAGCATGCTCCATGGTCTTTTCATACACGATCTCGTTCATGACCTGTGTGGAGATAAGAAATAATTATATTAACTGGAATTATATTTTTTTTATAGAGGTTGCCCCGCACCTGGAATCGCTTCAATGCCTTCTTCTCGGTCACACCAATATACTGTTGCTCCAGCGCCACCGGTCGATAGCTGTTGTCGAAATAGAAGAGACCCTTGTCGGGCTTCACACGCAGAAATGTGGCCACGTCCTGGTAGTTCGGCAGCGTGGCAGACAGACCAACCAGACGCACATCCTCCTGAGTGGTCTCAATGTTGCGTATGGTACGTGCCACGAGCGCCTCAAGCACCGGTCCACGCTCGTCGTGCAACAAATGGATCTCATCAATGATAACCAAACGCACCAGACTCACAAATGTCCGCTCACCACCCTTGCGTGTGATGATATCCCACTTTTCGGGTGTGCACACAATCACCTGTGTTGCGGCAATTTGCTCACGCGTTAGCTGATGATCGCCCGTCAACTCAGACACAGTCAGATTGTAGCAGGCCAGACGGCGTCCGAAGTTTCCTACCATTTCCTGTACCAGGGATTTCATGGGTGCCACATAGATGATCTTGAAGTCTTGTGCATTGATGGTTCCATCCTCGTTTATATGCTTGCCAATCTCCCGCATCATTGTGAGTAAGGCGACATTCGTTTTACCTGCACCAGTAGGGGCACAAAGCAGCATATTCTCATCGCTGTCCAAAGCAGCTTTGTAGAGCCGGCTCTGAATGCGATTCAAGGTCTTGAAGCCATCGAACACTGGCTGAACATACTTGGGCAGTTTGTCAATCGGCTGCAGCTCCTCGTCCGCCTCGAAGGGAACTTGCTTGAGAGCGGGCACATGCACCTCCTCGTATCCCTTGCGCTGTTTGCGATAACTGCCGTCGGGCAGCTGGCAACGCTTGTTGGCCATGAAATGCGAGCCCTGGGTAAAGGCTAGCTCATCCAGTTCTAGCAGTTGGCGAACACCAGGCACTTGACCAGCAGCAGCGGCTCCACCATCGTCAGCATCGCCCTTGCCACGCTTGTTGGCTCGCGCATCCGCCTCCTCCTGCTCATCAGCCTTACCAGTGTCCAGCTGACGCAATATTTTTGCCAGCGCGGTGTTGCCACGCATCTTTTCCCGTATGCGCTGCCTCTCGCTATCTGTTTGTGCGGACGCTAGCATGGTACAGTAGAGTATCATCTGACGATTCAATTTCAGTTGCTTAATGAAGTCAAAGCAATCGTAGCCCAGCAGCAGCACCAACTGATTCTCACAGTCGCGTTCATCGGCGGCATCCTTTAGTATCTTGAGGACATCAGCAGCCTTGCTCTGGGAAACCATCGCGTCCTTGTAGTACTTGCTGAGGCAGCGCTGCAGCCAGTAGGCATCAATGTCCAACGGATGCAGCGAACGATCCTTCTTTACATTACTTGCAGCCTCCTCGCTGGCGAGCTGTAAATTAAAATAATAAATGTATGTTTTAATATAAGCATAATTAATGCTACTTACATTTTCGGCGTGCAGTGTATGATCAATGCGCGCTTCTTCGCCCTCATCCTGTGCATCGTCGTCACGTATCTCGCCATACATATCGTTGTCACTCTCCTCTTCAGACTCCTCGAACTGTACATTGATGCCGTAAGTATCATCAATTTGCTCATCATTATTGGTAGCTGCCGCCAGAGCATTCACTGCATCGCTGCCGAAGTCGGTGATTTTCTTGCCAAGATTCACGAGCAGGGCAAAGCGTTCATCTGTCACTTCACCTAGCAAACTGTCCACCTCCCGCTTGCGATCGCGATCTTTAAGCCGCTCATTCTTAAGCACAGCCAAAATTTCATCTGCGGCGCCACATAAAATGTCGCGTGGCTGATCGCCCAGTGCCTCCTGTATGAAACTCAATAGCACCTCGTAGGTCTGACGAGTCTCCTGCGTCTTTGGGCGATAGACAATGCCCACCATTTCATCAATACCCTCTGATAGCAATGTGGCGCCCTTCATGCGCTCAAAATCGTACTGCGCCTCATCACGCTTTTGACGCTTGACTTTGCGCTCCTCCGTTTTTTCCGGCTTTGTACGCTGATAGCGATCACCCATGCGAGTGCCATCCAATTTGCCTACCAGAGAGCACACCTCGCCAGTGGCTTCATCACGACGCGGACGCTCGATGAGACGTACATCAGCTTGCAGCACAAGATTCGAGTTCTGTATTGAAGAGAATAGTTAGTAAGAAATATTTTTCGGCAAACGTTTACCGCATGTGGCGGCCGCTTTTCTTCCTATTATTTTTCAATACTTACCGCTTTGTACTCGTACTGCAGTTGACGTGCTGCGGCATCCGCCATATTTGTTTAGCTAGTTGTTATCGTTTTAAGTGCCGGATTAACTTATTTTTGCAATTTTAAAGCGGCAAAAATACTTTTTTCGCTGTTTATTGGCTGGCTTTGCGATAAAGATGTATTCGAATCGATATAATAATTAGTTATTGATATCGATATTTCATATACATCGATAAGAGCTGTGTTTATTGAGTTCCTTTTTTTCAACACTAGTTTTGCTTTTCGCTCTGGTCACATTGAGTCCATGCAGAAGTAAACAAAACAAACGACGCTCACTCTCTTGAATTTGTAATTTATTGAGCTGCAAATCGATAAGCAAATCAGTTGTATTGCAACCTCTTTAGTGAGTGGATCGTATACGAGAGTGAATAAATTTGAAGACAATATATACATATCAGAATGCTGCCGCTACCGAGTACCGATCAGGATCTACGCTGTCCTGGTTTCTGCGATTGTCGTTTTCCCAGCTGTGTCGATGTAGCCAACCACAAAGGAAACATTCCCGATCTGGTCACGTGTCGCTGCGGTGAGGACAGTGGTAATGGCCTGGAATGGCAGTGGCATCACACAGAAAATTCCGATGCCCAAGTCATAGGCAGAGATATCGTCTTCCATCCCACCTACAGTCAGGGAACGGCCATTGTGCGTGGCGAACAGCCGCTGCAACAGGACAAAGTTCATTTCTGGGAAATGCGTATAATTACAGTGCTGGCTGGTACTGATGTGGTAAGTTCTAGTGCATGGGCAACTGCATCCAAAGGGATTCAAATAGCTAGGGAGATAAGCGCCACTTTAAAAGATAACACAGCTGTAACGCACTTGACACAGTCCGCCTGTCTCTCGGCATGAGGAAATCTGTGGTGCATAGTGAGTGATGAGTGAGAGCTGATAAGCCAGTTGTGTATTCCTATTTTAACTCGGCCGCCCGGTTTATGAAAAGGTCAATGCAAACGTAATAATTCCACTCGGTTACTATTTATTTGTCTTTCCCTCTCTCTTAATATTTTCTAGATGTTTGGCATAGGCACCGATAGTGTTAATCTGGAACAATTCAAATTCCATTTCGTCTCGGCGCTGGGCACCAATGCCCAATCCTGGGGCTATTCCTACAACGGTAAAATCCAACATTGTGGCGATCAGTTGCCCTATGGTCAAAAGTTTTCCCAGGGCTGCTTGGTAGGCATCTATCTGGATCGCACACGTGGTCATTTGGAATTTTTTTTGAATCGCCGCTCGCTCGGAGTGGCCTACACGAACATACCAACAGACCCGCATGTCAAAATCTATCCCATGGTCTGCTCAACAGCTGCTAAGTCTGTCATTCGCTTGATTAACTCCACCTCTCAGGCGGCAACGCTGCAGCTGCGCGCATTCGAATCACTTGCTAAGCAGCCGCAAAAGCTCGATGAGCTGCGCCAAATGCCTGGCCTGAAAAGAATTATGCAATCATATTGGTTTCTAGCCCCTCCCGTGCGCTACTCCAGATGCTCTACAAATCTGGACTTGGATTTATGCGATGAGGCGGTACTTTCCAGCTCCAAGCTACGTCTGGGCAGAAAACAAAAATATAGAGGTAAGTTTATTAACTTTCAAAATTAATCACGCTCAAAGAAATCTTTTCCGTAAAGCACTTAATTCGCTCTGTTTACATCAAATATTTGATAAACATAAAACCAAATAGAATCTCTTATCGCTTGTAATTTAACAACTGGAGATAAATGAAGCAAAACAAACTGACACTAATCGTATTTTTGCCAAAGTTCTCAAAGTAAACTGGAAGATATAAGTTGTATACATATATATGTATGTATGTATATATGCATGTGTCACCGTACCCCTTCAATTATCTAGAGTTTATTTCAAGCTATGACCTAAATACTTGCCTTTGTCTAAGTCTGAAGATTGTTGTCCGCGCCCTTATTCAATTGCCATTCAATTAAACATATATTATATATATATATATATTTTTTTTTTTTCAGAAACTGATGATGTCAACATCGATGAGGATCTCTACGCGAATGCGCACAAAATTCCGGTGCGCCGCAATGACAGCGGCGATGAGGAGTATGTCTCATCCATTCACGAGTTCTGTGATGAATATTTTCACTATTTGTTGTAGTTGAATATCGGCTTTGAACTTATTATTATATATAAATATATATATACATATTTTGTATTGCATTTCCTAAAATTACAATGTATTTTTGGCAAATACTATTTTGGTTTTTTCTATGTTTTGTAAATTCCAGTAGATTTGTTTTTGTTTTTCTATAAAGACAGTCCGGTTTATTTAGGACAGACTGTGGATTTATTTTAAAAGTATTTGCTTTAAATATATGTGAATATATCATTGTGTTTTTTTGTATGTGCGAAAAACTGTTGAAAGTTTCATTATTGCAATGCTGACGGGATTTGGGATTGGGATACGTGGGGGCTGTGACGCTTGGAGTGGGGTGAACTGAATTGGGGCGTGGCTAAAAGAACTTAAAGTAAACTAAATGTTAGTTGAACTCGGCACCGTTCGATGCTCGTTTGAAAATGACGCCCAGTGGCAGCTAGTCCATGTCGTCGTCATCGTCATCCGAAATGGTGTACTTCTTTTGAGCGCGCTTCCGACGCGTCTGTTTCTTGGATGTGGTCGCTGCACCGCTGGCCACCGAGGCAGCTGCTGAGGATTGTGTGGGCGTGGCTGGTGCACTAGCCAGCGATTTATTAAGTTTTAGCTTCATTTTAACGGCCGCTGCAGATGTGGTGGCTATCTCCTCATCATCGGAACCATCATCGCCATCATCGTCGTCATTGTCCGAATTATCGGAGCCACCGGCGCCCCCGCCATTGCCATGAGCATCACCAGTGTTCTCGCCAGCGGCCACAGCAGCCGCGTCCGCAGCCGCCGTAACTCTTTGCCGTGCACTGACAAAAATCTTTTGCAACGCTATGGAATCGAGATAGATCAGCGACGCCTCCTCATTGTAGATTTGCGCATTCTGGCAGAGCTGCATAAAGTCCTTCTCCAGCTCATTGAGATCCGCATATTTACAGTCCTCGATACGCTGCAGTATTTTCTTAATGTCCACCGGCCGCTTGATAATATCATAATAGTCGGGCAGCCGTTGTCGCGAGGGTAGCTTCATAAATGGCTCAGACAGCGTGCGACCATCCTGCGTGTGCTTGATGACAGCGCTCATGATCTTGTGCATTTGCTTCTTGGACCGCTTGTCCAAGTTCTGGCGGCGTCTGCGCTTCAATATGAGTGAATCATCATCGGATTCGTCTTTCCGATTCTTGCGCTTGCGACGCTTGCGCTTGGAGTCGAGATCCTCCTCTTCCTCTTCATCGAATTCAGCGCCATCATCGATAGCCTTCAACCATTCTTTTTCGGTCAAGCTGTCCGTATAGTCAACTTCCTTGCGCTGTCGTGATCCACGACCTACAAATGCAAATAAAAGAATTAGTTTACTTTCCTTTATACATATGTGAAGATATATCCACTTACCCAATATGGTATCCTCATCATATTGGTAATGGAAACGCTCCACCTCATCGTCATCCTTGGTCAGCCAGTCGGGCAGCTCAGACTCGTCGATGAGACGTTCTCTGCCCGGATGTATTTCCTCATCCTCTTTCTTGCGTTCAATATCCATTTTCTTGAATATTTCAATTTCCTCTTCACTGCGCGCTATCATCATATTAATCATCTCATCATCTGGCACCTCGTTCTCCTCTTCCTCCTCGTTGTCGTCCTGATGCAAAATGGTTTGCAAGAATTGCTGACGCTCACTTCCCGTAGATTTCTGATCGAACATGCCCGCCTGAATGACTTTCTCGTCCATGTTCAGCTTATACCGGGCCGCGGCCAGAATGCGCTCCTCCACCGAATTGACCGTCATGAGACGCAGCACACGCACCTCATTACGCTGACCGATACGATGGGCACGATCCTGTGCCTGCAGATCCTGATGCGGATTCCAATCGGAATCGAATATGACCACTGTGTCGGCTGTCTGCAAATTCAAGCCGAGGCCACCAGCGCGTGTGGACAGCAAGAAGACAAAGTAATCAGAGCCCTTTGCATTAAATTTACGCAGCAGTTCGCCACGATCCTCGGCCTTGGTGGTACCGTCCAGACGCAAGTAGCCAAACTGTCGCCAACTCAAGTAATCCTCAATAATGGTCATGCACTGGGTCATCTGACAGAAGAGCAACACGCGATGATTGGTTGCTTTCAGCTTGGGCAAGATGCGATCAAGCAGCTCGAATTTACCCGACACACGATACAGATCGGGTCCTGCAAAGCAAACCAAGTGTATAGCGAAACTGCATATAATAAAATATAGGGGAATATTTACCTGAAACGACGCCATGTCCTCCAGTATGATCGCAGTACTTCTCCTCGATGTGCTGGAACATGAATGGATGATTGCAGAGCTTACGCAGCTGGACGATGGTGTTCATCAGAGCCTTGGCACCGCCCTTGCCATGCTTGCCCTTCTCGGAGCCATCGGTGAGCAGGACGCCCTTGCTCTGCATGTGCTTGTAGAGCACTCGCTGCAATGCGGACATATCGCACTTGATAATGTACTCGACCTTGTCGGGCAGCTGGTGTTCCACCTCCTTTTTGAGACGACGCAGCAGGAAGGGACGCAACACCTTGTGCAAACGTCGAATGATCAAAATGGTTTCCTCCTCATTCAGCTCGACCTTCTCGCCAGTGGTGGCGAACGGTGCATTGAACCACTGCTCAAATGTGGAGCACGACTTGAAAATCGAAGGTAGCAAAAAGTTAAGTAGCGCCCAGAGCTCGGGCAGCTTATTTTGCAGTGGTGTACCCGTAAGGAGCAGCCGATAAGGCGCTATGTAGTGCGTATTGAGCACCTGCGTCAATTTGCAGTGATGATTCTTCATGCGATGGCCCTCATCGATAATCATGTACTTCCATTGAATCTTGGCCAGCACCGCCTTATCCTTGATCACATACTCGTATGTGGTGAGCAGCACATTGAATTTGGTGGCTCTCATTTGATTCTGGAGCAGACGACGACCCTGTGGACTGCCCTTGTAACTGACCACACCTACGGCGGGCGCCCACTTCTCGAACTCCAGCACCCAATTGGGCAGAGTTGAGAGCGGCACAATGATTAAGTATGGACCCATAACCTTTTTGCGATCCATTAAATAGGTGACCAGAGAAATTGTTTGGATGGTTTTGCCCAGACCCATCTCATCGGCCAAAATGCCATTCAAATTGTTATTGTAGAGCGAAACGAGCCATTCCAGACCCTTCAATTGATACTCCTTAAGCTGACCATTGACCATAATACTGGCCTGCTCGGTGACCTTTTCGTGCACGGTATGCGCAATGCTGTAATAGGTTTGCTCCTCAGTGCGATATTCATCGTCCTCCACTTTCACCTGATTGATCAAATCATTGGCGCCCGCCTCACCTGGCTGCGCAGATTTATCTGTAGCATCCTCAGATCCTTCGGCAGCAGCATTGCGCTCCTGCGGCTGCTCCTCGAGCTTTGGTTTCGGCTTCTTCTCGGGTGACTCGTCATTGTCATCATCATCGTCATCAATCCAATCCCAGCCCGGGTGCATGTTGAGCCAGCGATGTAAATGCTTGAGCATTGGTGCATCATCCCCTGTTAGCTTCTTGCCGCTGCATTGCTCTACGACATGGACGCGCATATCGGCTGCAATACTGCTCTCATCAATATTGACATATTCGCCGCTCATCAACAGCTCCTTTTTGTATTGCTGCAGACGCTTGCCCTCCTCCTCCTTCTTCTTCATCTGGTCGTCCTTATGCTGCTTCACCATCTGGGTGAGGTTGCTAATGTACTCGTCTGTCTGCGACAGCAGGAATGCTAAACGTTTGTCCTTCTTTTGATCAATCAGCTTGCGGTAGCCCTCCTCATCCTCGGCCATCAGACGACGCATACGCTCCTTCTCAATGCGCTCCTGTTCCTTCTTCTGTTCACGCTCCGCATTCGCATGGTAATTCATCACCGACTTGTTCATGCGCGCCAACTGAGCCTGCAAATGGACAATTAAGATTTCATCATCAGAGCAAAGCTTCGCCCATGTCTTCTATGCACTCACCTTATTGTTGCGATGATATTCACGCAGATCCTTGCCATGCTGCAGCACAGCAGACAAGAACTCAAGATGCTTCTGCCTACGTTTGCGTTCTGCCTCGAGCTTTTGTTGCTTCTCTAGCTTCTCGGTGGCGCGTGCCTCTCGCAGGCCTTGGCGCTTGGTGCGCTTGTAGAACTTCATGTTGATGGCCGTCTCCAGTGTGGTGTCCCGCCTGGTGCACTGCACAATTTCCATGCGCAGCTGGCGCTGGAAATTCAGAACACGCAGTGCCCGCAGCTCAATGGCCGCCTGCAGGCGCAGATCCTCGGACATGGTAGCCGGCAGACGTTGCAGCTCCTGCATGCGCAGCGAAATGCGAGCAGCTATGCGATTCTCACGCTCCTGCAGCAACGTGATGGGATCGAGGCCCACCGGCTTGGCCACAGTGGTCACACGGTTCGGCTTGGGCATCGGCTGTTGCTGTCCGGGCGGTGCACCTGGCCGTGGCGGGCCCGGAGGCGCCACTTGACTGCCAGGCAGGCACGGAGCTGCAGGACGAATGCCCTGCGCCTGCATGGGCGTCGCTGGTATCAGCGGCGGTCCACCCGCAGGGCCCATCGACAGCGGCTTACCGCCATTGTGCTGCTGATGCTGCATTTGCTCAGGCGGTGGCTGCAGTGGCAATTGTTGCTGTTGTTGTTGCTGCTGTTGTTGTTGTTGCTGCTGTTGCTGCAACTGCTGCTGCTGCTGCTGCTGTTGTTGTTGTTGTTGTTGTTGGTGCTGTTGCTGCTGCTGTTGTTGCTGCTGCTGTTGCTGCTGTTGTTGTTGTTGCTGTTGTTGCTGTTGCTGCTGTTGGATCTGTTGTTGCTGCTGCTGCGGCGTTGGTGGTGCACCGCCAATTAGCGGAGGCTGCGGCTGCAACGGTTGTCCCTGCATATGCGGCGGAGGCGCTGGCTGCATTTTCTGGCCCGGCACAGGCGGCCCATATGGACTAGCTGGTGGTGTAGAGCATTGAGGCGGTGTGCCCGTTGAGGGCGGCTGCTGCGCTTGCATCGGCTGCGGACCCGCATGCGGCCCACCCGGTGGCGGTCCACCAGGCATACCCGGCGGTCCTATGGGCTGCGGAGGCTGTTGCTGCTGCTGTTGCTGTTGCTGCTGCTGTTGTTGCTGCTGCTGCTGTTGCTGCTGCTGCTGCTGTGCCGCCTGCAGAGCCTGCTGCATCTGCATGGAAATGGGCTTGTTGCGCGACAGCAAGCGATAGGCCGTAATCTGAGTGCGCAGCAGGTTCACCTGAGAAGTACTAAGATGCTGATGCTTGGAGGTGGCGCGCATGGCCAAAAGTTGCGAGTATCGTGGATCTTCCTGCATGCCCTTCTCCTCCATCGAGTCGATGGCTCGCTGCAGAGCATGCAGATTCTCTTGGCCAGAACGTTCGGGCGGACCACCGGGCGGGCCACCAGGCGGACCCTGACCACCCTGTGGAGGACCCTGAAAAGACAAAAATTTGATATATGAATGTAGGAATCAAAATATGTTAATGTATATATCTTATTGTGTATGTTAATGTTACCACAAGAAATCATATAGAGCATTCAAAAGTCATTATCTAATATCCAAAGAGTCTCCCTTTGTTTTCAATTTGTAAGCCAAGTAAACAGAAAGCTTTTGGTATCTCAGTTGCTCAGTTGAGCGAATTTCTAGTCACGGCTGAGTGAGAAACTCGTTTTGTGACTACTCAGTGCAAATTCAGTTCTCGACGATAGCTGACGAAGCATCCAAAAACTCCGACTCAAAGGCAAACAATGACAGCAAACAAAAGCGATATCGAGGAGTTGTACAAGTTCATCTATCCGCTGGCTGTAAGAGCAGGTGAAATACTGTTCGAGGGCTATCAGAATGCGGGCAAAAAGTTCACACTGAAGCGAAACGAGTTCCACAACGTAGTCACCGACTACGACAATGAAATAGAAGAGTTCTTGATGAGCAGCATACTGGCCAGCTATCCGGAGCACAAGTTCATTGGCGAGGAGGATACGCACAAGAACAACAATATAACGAAGGAGCTAACAGATGCGCCCACTTGGATCATAGATCCCATCGATGGGACCTCCAATTTCATTAAACAAATCCCACACGTATCCGTTTCCATTGGCCTCTCAATCAATAAGCAAATCGTGCTGGGAGTTGTGAATAATCCAGCCCAGGGTAAGCTCTACACAGCCAAGCTGGGTCAAGGCGCCTTCTGCAATGGTGAGCCCATTCATGTGAGCAATTGTGAGCGTCTGAACGATGCTAATGTTGCCTATGAGGTGTGTTTGCTGCACGAGCCAACGATACGGAACAAACACATTAAACGCATCTACTATGTGGGCTCACAGGCGAGACGGTGTGTAGAGCTGTGTATCACTCACAACAATCTAATCTATATTCAATTTATATTTCTTGCTCCTCTTCTTATCAGTTTGATTGGCTATTCGGCTGTGGTAGATTCCCTCTGCATGGTCGCCGCTGGCAATCTGGACGCCTTTCACATTGAGGACATGTACCCCTGGGACTGTGCTGCTGGCTATTTGCTGATACGCGAAGCCGGCGGCGTTGTTACCCATCCCTATGGGGGGCCCTTTGACATTATGAAGCCAGATCTGATTTGTGCCGGCACAGAAGCACTGAGATTGCAAATTGAAACTCTTATACGCAAGGCAGACCAGGCCAAGTCTGTGGGAGGTGAAGAGGATGTTTGAATATAAATTTAAATTGTTGTTGACAATAGAAAGGTATGCAATTAATAACGAATGAACCAATAAATGTATATGTATATGTATGAATATTCTATCGAACTCAATTACTCTTTTACTTGAAACACCTCTCATCTTATACATTCCACACAACAGTTATAAAAATTATTGTTAATTGTTAAAATTTAACTTAAAATGTGTCATCAAATCGTATAATAAACTTTCCACTCCCTATCAATTGCGTTCTATAAATATATCCAAAATAAAGTCTAATTGTTCAACTGGCTGCTTTAAATACTCTACCATATATTATGTTGATTAATTGACGTCTTATCAACTGACCCCATTTTACATTGTCTGAAGCTTAATTACAGATTTAAAAGGAGATGTTGACAGGGTAATCAAGTCATAGATTAAAATTATCTTTTATTCTTGTCTATAATCTTGTTAAGAACTCAACAAGAATCAACATGATTCTACACATATTAAAGTTCAAAGTTTCGCGTCGACTAGAGAGCTTTTTGACAAAGCTTTTGCAAGCTGCCTGTTCACAGCTCAATTAGATATACAAATTTCAGTGGTTAGCATCAGTTGGTCGAGTGCAAAGCGAAAAAAATGAGCTCAACGTCTGAGTCAAAATTGCAGAAGTATTACGAAGTGGCGCTGGACTTGGTGAAGCAATGCGGGCCCCTGCTAATGGAGGGCTACAAAAAGCCCAAAACTGATTTTACAGTTAAGAAAGACTTCTATGATCTGGTCACTGTGTATGACAAACAGATTGAGGATTTCCTAACGGAGGGCTTGCTAAAGGCCTTTCCCGAGTCGCTAATCATCGGCGAAGAAGAATCGGCAACTAGCAAACGCGACGCCGAGTTAACTGATGCCCCCACCTGGATCATCGATCCCATTGATGGCACCACAAATTTCGTCCATCGCATACCACATTGCTGCATTTCGGTGGGTCTGACCATCAACAAGGAGCTCGTCGTGGGCATCATCTATAATCCGCCGGGTAATGAATTGTTCTCGGCATGGAAAGGGCACGGCGCCTACCTCAATGGCCAGCGCATACACACTTCCAAAGTGACTACGGTAAGTGCTCTCCCATTATCTAATTGCCGAAAAATAAAAACCCACAATCATCGTGATAACACCGAAATGTTGGTGTCAATGACAAGAATTTCAAATCATTTGATGTTTGCTTGCACCTGCAAATCATAAAGAAGACTTTGCGGTAAACACGCTGAGACTCAAAGCTCCTTTTGTGTTCTTTAGATAAATCAAGCTGTGGTCGCCCTAGAAATCTCAGTCATACATGCAGCTGCTGTCAGAGATAAGAATATCAAACGACTTTACAAGTTGGGCTCAAATGCCACAGCGTAAGTAAAGAGAAAGAGAGCGAGAGAGCATAAAAAACACTCATACTTTACAATTTACAGCACTCGCAGCTTTGGTAGCGGAGCCCTTGCTCTTTGCTATGTGGCAACGGGACAATGCGATGCCTATCACGTTGATGATCTGCAGCCCTGGGATATTGCAGCTGGCGCTGTTATTTTAACAGAGGCAGGCGGCTCTATATACCATACCAAAGGTGGCGAATTCAATGTTATGAAGCCCGATTTGGCATGCGCCGGCACAGATGAATTGGCCAAGAGTGTGATAAGTCTCATTGCAGAGGCTGATCAAATAACAGAATATACATTCAAGTAAATTAATTGGAAATAAAAACTATTATTCATGTGAACATTCTAAGGTTCATTCAAAGAACAAATTAATGAAGGTGCATTCAAGCAATTGTTATGAATCTGTATATTTTATATAATAAAGGAATTCAAATGTAAAAACTGAAATAAAAATAATCCTGATATAAAAATATATAAATTGATTAATGGTGAAATCGAAATGAGACTATTTAGTGAATGTCTTGAGAAAAATAATTAGTTAAATAAACTCAAGCTTGGTTGGGCAAAGGTCGCAATAGATAGTCTTATCTAGTATAAAAGAATTGTAAATATATTTACAATATATTTACATAGTATCCGTCAATTGAAACCAGTTTCATTCCGCGAATAGTTCGACTACCCTGTACAATATAGAGACATTGTATGTTAAAGATAATGAAATGTCTATTTGTAGTTGTCAGTTGCGATAAAACGCAGTCAACAGATTTCAATTGCCAGTTCATCTGTGGAACTCTCCGTCATCATATGCAAGAGTTTTTTATTGAGCGCATCAAAAAAAACTCAAAGTAAACAAATGCGAGTGAGTGCTAAAGCAAAAGCGATGCGAGCATCATAGTCCGGTTTCAGTCGGGAGCTGATGTCTGTGCAGTAACAACGCATATCGCAAGCTCTATACCAGGTCTTTACAAACATTCGTCAGCTGCCAATATGTTAACGGAAATTGAGGAATTGTATAACTTCATTTTCCCACTGGCGCAGCGCGCAGGCGATATACTGATCGAGGGCTACAATCGCACGGAGAAGAATGTGGACATTAAGGGCGCATTCTATGATGTGGTCACCGACTATGACAACAAGATCGAGGAGTTTCTGATGGGCGAAATCTTGGCCAAATACCCGTACCACAAGTTCATCGGCGAAGAGGATACGGCCAAGAATAATAATGTCTCTAAAGAGCTGACAGATGCGCCCACTTGGATCATCGATCCCATTGACGGCACCTCCAATTTCATTAAACAAATCCCACACGTTTGTGTCTCGATCGGGCTGGCAATCAATAAGCAAATCGTGCTGGGCATTGTGAATAATCCAGCCCAGGGCAAGCTCTATACAGCGAAACTGGGTCAAGGCGCCTTCTGCAATGGCAAGCCCATTCATGTGAGCGAGTGTGAGAGCTTGCGGGATGCCAATGTGGCTTATGAGGTATCCCTGTTGCATGTGCATAATGTGGCTAACAAGCATATCAAACGCATCTACCATGTGGGATTGCATGCCAGACGGTAAGCTAGTAATGTCTTTTAATATCTTTTAAACTAGTTGAAATATGCGTCATCTTGAATGTTCAGCTTGTTGGCCTACTCCTGTGTCGTGGATGAGCTCTGCATGGTGGCTGCCGGCAATTTGGATGCCTTTTATATTGAGGACATGTATCCTTGGGATTGTGCCGCTGGTTCATTGCTGGTGAGTGAGGCGGGCGGAGTAGTCACACATCCCTTCGGAGGACCTTTCGATATTATGAAACCAGATTTGATTTGTGCCGGCACCGAAAAATTGCGCAAAGAAATCGAGAACCTGCTCCGCAAAGCAGATCAGGAGCGCTCTGTTGGCGGCACTGACCCTTAGAATCTACTCAAAATATATTTATAAAACCTGTTCAATAAATAAAGTTCTGACGAAAAAAAAGCTTCAGTAAATATTTAGTTGTTATCTGTTTGCATTGCAAAGCTTCTTGAAGGCGAAAGCTCTGCAAGCTTTTTGATCAAAACAGTAGATAAACTAACGGGGCTGATTAGTTGTGCTATAGACAGCAAATCCTACCGTAAGTCGCACTTTACGATCGGTCTAGCATGGGCCGACAAATATTTACTTATTTATATGCTTTAGCTTTTTTACAGCTTGTCGACATGGCCCAGAATACGAGAGAAACAAAGATTAAGGAGTATTATGATGTTGCTGTAGATCTGGTTACGAAATGTGGACCCATATTTATGGAGGGCTACAATAAAAGCAAAAAGGAGGTCATGGTGAAAGAATCCTTCTTCGACTTTGTCACCGTATACGATCAGCAAATTGAAGAAAAGCTAACCGAGAACCTGCTGAAAGCCTTCCCAGAATCCGTTTTTATAGGCGAGGAAACATTGGCGGGCAAAAAGAAGCTGCCAGAGCTGACGGATGAGCCCACATGGATCATAGATCCCATCGATGGCACCACCAACTACATACACCGCCTGCCGCATTGCGGCATTTCAGTAGCATTAGCCATTGATAAGGAGCTGGTGATAGGCATTATCTATAATCCCGTAGACAACGAGCTATACTCGACGAGGAAAGGTCATGGCGCTTTTCTAAATGGTGAACCTATTCAAGTGACCGGTGCAACAGAGGTATGATAAATCATTTGAAAACCCAATGGAAAGATTGTGTCAAGCATCACTGAAATTTCAGATGTCTAGTGCAGTGGTTGGACTTGAAATTACTTTGGTCAATGTGCCTCAATTGCGTGATCGGTGTCTGAAACGTGCTTACAAACTGGGCTCTGGGGCTGCTGGGTAAGCTATCTTTAGAACTATAATATAATATATATGCAATTCAACAATATACATATATATAATTATATTGTCTATTGTCTGCTTAAACAATAGCACGCGATGCTTGGCCAGCGCAGCATTGTCTCTGGCGTATGTGGCAAAGGGCACATTGGATGTCTATCACGTGGACTATCTAAAGCCTTGGGATGTAGCTGCTGGCGTTTTGCTTGTACGTGAAGCTGGCGGCGTGGTATATAACACGAATGGCAGTGCATTCAATATAATGAAACCAAATCTTGTGGCTGCCGGCACAGAGTCGCTTGCCCAGGCGGCAATTCAACTGATCGAGCAGGCGGATCATATCAAGGACTACAAATTCACATAGTTAAGAAAGTTATATAGTGCACTTACGTTGGGCGGCATGCCGTGCGTTTGATAGCCAAGTGGAGACATATTCGGTCCAGTTGGTGGCATTTGCATGCCCATATGAGGTGCTGAAAATAATTGTAAACAGTTATTAAATGTCTCAACAGAATTACTAAAGAATTTTACGCATACTCATGCCCTGATGATGCGGTGGCATATGATGTACTGGGGGACCTTGACCGGGTGGTCCGTGCTGCATGGGATGGCCATACGGTCCAGCTGGATGACCCGGCGGTGGAGGCCCTTGCATGTGGGGTGCACCGGGCGGTGGCCCTTGAGGCGGTCCTTGGGGCGGCTGGTGTGGATAGGGACTGTGCGGCGAGGGCGCAGGACTCTGAGATGGCGGCGCCATGGGGCTGGGTGCTTGTGGTGGCGGCATCGGACTATTCGCCGGCGAGGGCGAGGCCATTTCGCTGCGTTTTCTGTGTGTTCGTTTTGCACTGGCTTGGCCTTAAAATGTTAGCTAAAAAGTTGTGCAAATATAAAAATACGATATATTCGCTTAAATGTTAGCATTTCATTGCTCTACGTTTTGCGCAAAGTCCATTTAAATGTATATAAACTGTATATGTAATCGGTTTTTGGCTTTTGTTGCTCTCACTCTCCCTCACCGCACACACACTTTATTTGCACATGGCTTGAAATTCTTATAAAAAGCATCAGTGGCGCTTATCTACAACGTTTCAGACACTCGTCATACTATCAGGCAGCATATTGCACAATATTTAAACCGAAATTTTACCTATTTGCACAATTTGAATGCGTTTTAGGTCTCTCGATTTTCACACTTTTTATTTGACGATAGACGCGACAATGGCGGACGTCTCTGTATAACAAAATACAAACTGTGGCAACCCTATGCACCGGCAAAGACTGGTTGCGTTCAGCATGAACATTTTAATTCCATATTCATTTAGAAGATCGTATCATATCATTGAATGTTAGAAAAATTTATATAATTTAATACCAGTTCAAGATTAAATTCCTAAATTAACTATTTTCAATAAAAATATTTTTGTTGTGCTGAACGTATGCGATGACACGTCATGTTTACGTCACCGGTGAATGGCAAAATTTTTGTCAGCTAGTGAAAACAAGAGCAGAATTTCGTTGGAAAAGCGAAATAACATAATTAGTTAGTTATTATTAATACTTAAGCATTTAGAGGCACTTAGTACGCTGCAATCGAGCTTTAATCATGGGTAGGTGATCCCCTGCAACGGTAGTATGGCTCAACATCTTCTATATACATATATATATGTATGATTCTCGTTTATCTCGTCTGTCGCCTGTCATTAAAGTCACCACCTATAAATTTTTTTTCTTACATATATTCTTGTATTGCAGGTGGGGTGCTTAGCTATTTTCGCGGTCTGCTTGGTTCCCGGGAGATGCGTATTTTAATATTGGGCCTTGATGGCGCCGGAAAAACCACAATATTATACAGGCTACAGGTCGGTGAGGTGGTCACAACGATACCCACAATCGGCTTCAACGTGGAGCAGGTCACATACAAAAACCTGAAGTTCCAGGTCTGGGACTTGGGCGGACAGACAAGTATTAGGTGATTATTCAATATATAATATTAAACAAATTCGTTCTAGACAAATTTATGGAAACATCTGTTATCTTTTTATTGCAGACCTTATTGGCGTTGTTATTATAGCAATACAGATGCCATTATTTATGTGGTCGATTCGGCGGACCGTGATCGCATAGGCATTTCGAAAGATGAGCTGCTGTACATGTTGCGCGAGGAGGAGCTCGCCGGCGCGATACTTGTCGTGCTTGCCAACAAACAGGATATGGAGGGCTGTATGACCGTGGCTGAAGTGCATCATGCGTTAGGTTTAGAGAATCTTAAGAATCGCACATTTCAAATATTCAAAACGTCGGCCACCAAAGGCGAGGGTCTGGATCAGGCAATGGACTGGCTATCCAATACACTCCAAGCTCGCAAATAGTCATGTCCCCTGCCGCTCCCGACGTCCCAAATGAGCCTGCCCCCTTGTAAAATTGTCCAAAGTGTCACCCAGAGATAGTTGGAGGATCTATAACGCTTGCGCAAATATCCAAACACACACATACACACACACACACACACATGCATACATATACACAACTTTGTAATAACTTCTAGTAATATAATTATTAAATTATAGGTTTATAATGTATGTGAAACAATCAACTACCATTCGGGCAGTCCAAAGCGCTGCACGCGTCCTTGCTGTGTGCTCAGGTCCATGCGCACCTTCTGCCGCATATAGAAAATGGGACAATCACGATTCGAGCAGATGACCTCCTCATGCAGTGAGCCCTGACAACGCTGACACTCGGTCCACAGGCGGGAAAAGGTCTCCTCCAAGCCCCGCTTGGCTGCCAGTTCCTTCTGATAGAGCTCGCTCATCTTGGGCTCACAGTGTGGGCACAATGCCCTATCCTCATAGCCTTTGGGCATGAGAGATTTGCAGCCGATACACGAAGCCTTTTTGGTCATAAAGCCTGCCAGTCCGCCCACCTTCGAGGTGACCACAGTGCGTGTGCGCGTGTGTTCGCCCTTGAGCAACACCGATTCCGCCTTGTCCCCCAATATAGGCTCGAAGATGCGCAGCAATGGCTTCGATAGCTGCTGCTCCAAATAATAATTGGCATCGATAGGCACGCTATTCTCCAGCACATAGAGCGGATCCTCTGCCTTTTGATATGCCGGCGTATTTTTGGCTGCTGCACAAATCACATACGGCACGCGATCGCCCAGTTTGGGCGCTGTGCCCGCATCGCGTTTCTTCATCTTAGCTGCCAGCTCCACATGCGCCTGCTTGGCTGCATAATCCGTTTTGGCCAACTCCTTGGTTATGACCAACTGAGATATATCTATGCGATTGCATAGCAGATCCGCAATTACCTGCTTGGCATAGTCCACAGCGCCGTCGGGATCTCGTTCGATGAGCAGCTTCTGCAGGCACGAATTCATCAGATTGGCCACCAATGGCGAATTATCCCGACGCACTGTCTCAATGCCCTTGCAGTCCATTTTGTCGTATTTGTCCGGCTTGGTGAAGTAGAGACCCGCATAGCGTTTCTTGTTGATCAACAGATAGGGATAATAGACCTTCTCGAACTCCAGCTTGATTGGCCGCACGAACTTCGAGCTAACCAAATCAGCAGCCTCCCTGCCCAGCTCCATGCTGCGCTCCAGAGTCTTCACACCAAAGTTGACCATGACGGAATCTGTGTCGCCATAAATAACAAATGCATCATTTTCATATCCATTCGCACGTGTATAATGGGACTCCACTTCATTTTTGGTCAGCTCAATCATGGTGCGTCCATAAGCGGTGACGCTGCCAGAGATTTCCAGGCAGGGTAATTTACCCACCTGGGCGCCAGTGAAGCCATAAACCGAATTTGCAGAGATTTTCAGCGCCAACTGCCGGCCATCCAGCACTTGACGCTTGAACGGATCCTGTTCCACTTTCAGATCATTCTTGGCGCGCTTACGAGCCGCCAGCAAAGACTCCAGAATCTCTGGCAACAATCCGCGTCTCAATTCGGCTTTCACAAACAAATTATTGGCAGGCGTGCGCTCCACCTGATCATCGCTCAAGCCCAGCTTGTCCTTGGCGCCGGGCAACAGCAGCGTGGTGTAGCACAAATTGTGAGCCATCATTATACTTGGATATAGCGAGGCGAAATCGAGTGTACTAATGGGATCTGCATAGTATCCCCGCTTCGGCTCTATAACCGTTGCGCCCTCGTACTGCTCATCCGAGCCGCTGGACGTATACGATGGCATGATGAAGCCACGTGTCTTGGCTTTGCGCAACAGCTGGCTGAGCACCTTGATTTGCTGGCCACGCGTGAGCAAGGACTCAAGTGGAACACCTGTGACACGCGCCATCTCCATATAGTTAACAATGGCCATCAGCTTGCCGAGCAGCCGTAGCGGCAAATAGGCATCCTTCAAGCAATACATGGCCAAACGGCGGCGGGTCTGCTCATCCCCATTCTGTAGGTCTGTAATAATACTATGATGCACATCCTCCTTTTGCTCCTGCAGGAAATGATAGCTGACAGCGTTCAGCGTATACGAGCGCAATTTGTAATCCCGGAGCAGCACGAAGAACAAATCAAAGGGCACTCGGCCCTCGAAGTTGACGTATTGATTCTCACGTCGACCCATTTGCTTAGACTGCAACACCTGCTCCTTGATGACCGAACGGATGTTCTTGATGCGTCCCAAATACTCAAAGTTCTTCACCTTCAAGTGGGCAGCGCGGTTCAGTAGATATGGGACGTCAAAGTTGTTAATGTTATAGCCAGTTAGAATATCGGGATCCACTTCTCTTACGAATGCCCCCCACTTGTCCAGCAGCTGCGTCTCCTGGGCGAAGCACAGCACCTGGCTGCCTATGATGGGCGCACACTCCTTTAAGGTGAACACATTCCTAATGAAGGGCTCCGTTTCGCCCTGTCGGATCACCATGTTGGCTATCTGTATGACCGGATCCACTTTCGCTTCCGGAAAGATGCCTTTGCGTCCGGCGCATTCAATATCGAAGCTGAGTATGCGCAAAGGCGCCACTTTGGACCATTCGCCTTCTGGCTCATGCGATATAAACTGGTCGTAGGCAACGTCCACTTCCAGCTGGCAACGAGATTCAGGCGCTGGCTTGGAATTCCGTCCGCGTAGTCGCCAAACACCTGGAGGCAGTTCAATCCAATTACAACCGACGACCTGTGTATCCACCATAAAACGTATATCGAAGTCGATGTTGTTCTCGAAGGCACGACAGTCCTGGAAATCGAAGGAGCTCATGATGATCGTCGTTTTAAGCAGCCTCGAGGCGGCGGCTACAAATCGAGGCAGCGTAACGGTAATCTTGATGTAAGTCTGTTTGGCATCGCCCTGATAGCCATGTATATTAAGTCGCTGTACTAGCTCCACGGCAAGTACGGCCTCCTGTACATTGTCCTTGTTGCTTCGCATGTCGGCAATCACCTTCTTACCCAGCGCTTCGTGCAGCTCCGCGCAGTGCCGCTCCTCGAAGTTGCTCGGCGCGACTATATAGAAATATGGACAGAAGCCATGCACGTGACAGCACACAGAGTTGCCCTCCATGGTGACGCCGAACATGCGGACCACCGGCACTGGGCCTAGCTGGGCGCCCGGCATGCCTGGCAGCGGTTGCCCCACATAGTTCTCCACGTCCAGCTGCTGAAAGATTAGCCTGTCTTCGGCGGGATTCAGCTGAGGAGGAGGCGCACGAGACCAGCGCTCGCTTGTTTGTTGGTTCTCAGGTCCCTCGCCCAGCAACTGTGTTTGATCTAGATCGTCCATTGCCTCAAATGCAGCCAGTTCCGATTCAAATCCACCGCCCATGTCGTCGTCATCATCGTAGGTCCTAGATATTTTACTACAGTTTATTTTAGGATTTTATATGTTTATCTTAACAGTTAACCTGGGCTTTTTAGAATGTCCATTGGCCACACCATTTCCATTAAATTTGCGTTTGGCATCCATGCTGCCAGCCTTGTATAACTTAAAAACAATAATCTAAGAAATTCGCAATTTGTTGCAAAAAAAAAAAAACAAAGAAACGCGGTAACTGCGCGGGATAATCAGAAGATATAACAACTGTTTAATTTACAACAGATTGGCAGCTCTGTCGCTTGTGATATTTTGAAAGCTTTGTGCATTTCATATTTCAATGTTAATGTAAATTAGTGAGCATTGAATTTGGCGAAATTGATAATTAAAAGTTACGATTAAATTATATATTAACTTTGCAAAATAAGCGAAATAAAAATATTTGAATTTTGTTATGCATGATGTGGTATTTATAATACATCTGATGCAAGTTTCATATGTGCGCAGTATTTTCGTCGAATATATCAACGGTCACACTGATCAGCAGCAGATATTTTCGTATGTAAAACGCATTAAAAACTTATAGTAGTGTAAATATTCTAGAGTTCAAATGTGTATCTATGTTTGTTCCTTAGTTGCATAAATGAACAGCGGCTGGCAATAATACGCAGCAAAATGCTCGACCTGTGAAAATCAACTGAATACCTTCATTCACCTGGCGGGGGTGTGTATGTGTGTGTGTGTTTGTGGGGGATGTTAAGTGAATCACAATCACAATCACACAATTAAAAAAACGCTGCAAAAATGTACCAAAGCGCCTGCAATGCAGCCACAACTGGCTCGTGTGTGCCCGGTGCTGGCAATCAAATGGATACCGATCGTCAGGCGGCACTGATAGCCCAACAGCCACCCACAGCGCCCGTGGAGCCTGACTACAGTGGCTTCGATATCGTTAAGGCCACACAGTATGGTGCGATAGCACGTGTCCGGGAACTGGTGGAATCTGGCTGGGATGTCAATCAGCCTGATAGTGAAACGGTCACGCTACTCCATTGGGCAGCCATTAACAATCGCAGAGATATTATACGATATTTTCTGGAAAAAGGCGCCACTGTGGATGCCGTTGGCGGTGAACTCAACGCTACGCCGCTGCATTGGGCCACACGGCAGGGTCACCTAGGAGCTGTTGTGCTGCTCATGGCGGCAGGCGCAGATCCGCGCATACGCGATGCAGAGGGCTGCTCCTGCATACACATTGCCGCACAGTTCGCACACACTGCCTTGGTGGCCTACTTCATAGCCAAGGGAGTGGATCCGGACTTGCAGGATCGAGGCGGCATGACGGCACTCATGTGGGCTGCCTGGAAGGTGAGTGAAGATATCGATTTAATCAATTGCATTTTCCCCAATTATCGATAAAACATTAAAGGAATTCTTCCTTTTTATTATAAAAACTTTAATATTTATAAATCCTATTGATTAATTATATTATTTGTAATCCATGTAAATAATTAATAACTAAAGATTACATAGTGTACTTTTGTTAAAATGTTTTTTTATTTTTGGTCTGAAGTGAAAAATATGTTAATTGAAGTATTTAATTATTATGTATATTTATATTACTTTTGTTATTTTTATGTATTTGTGTATATATTAATTTTTTGATAATTTTGAGAATGTCGTGAATTTACACTGTTGAGCAAAACAGCTGTTGAAAACAGATGCTTCCTTGTTTTCCATACCTTATCAATGTGCCTTACCCTTATTGCACTGAAAAAATTGAAAAAATTTATAAATATGTTTGTTATCTTATAACAGGTATGTGCTCTGGATCCTGTGCGGCTGCTGCTCACGTTGGGCGCCAATCCCGCCATGGTTGACTACACACATGGCAATACGGCATTGCACTGGGCAATATTGGCGCGCAATTCCACGGCCATTTCCACGTTGGTGCTGAAGTCGAAAGCTTCGCTGGATGTGCCTAATTTGCGTGCCGAGACGCCGCTATCGATGCTGGAAGCACAGGCCGGTGCCATCTGGATTGGCGCCAAGGTAATGGATCGGGTCAAAGAGGCAGCATTGACGTCCCAGCAGCGACGATCTCTCGTCTCAAAGCTACGCCATGACAAACGCTTGCGCTGGTGGTCGATGGTCGCCTGTCCATTTACAGCCTTCTATCTGGCTGGCATCGTCTTCACCATCAACACGCTGTACATTATCAAATTTTTCCTGCTGGGTTGCCTGTATGCTATATTCCATACCATTGGCAAAACGCTATTCGATGAGCATCTGATGGCGCTGCTGCCGCTGTCCGTTTATCTTGCGACCAAGGCCTGGTTCTATGTCACCTGGCTGATGTATATCGATGATGCTGTGTCCCTGGCAAATACTGTGTGCTTCCTTATCAGCTCGCTGGCGCTTTGGGTATGCTTCCTAAAGTCTTGGAAGGGTGATCCGGGCATTATACGACCCACCAGAGAGCAGCGATTCAAGGTATGAATAAATCAATTATTTTAAAATCCATATATACATATTTATATATTTCTTATATAGACGATAATTGAGCTGTCGGAGCGCGGTGGAATTGGCTTCGAGCCCGCCTCCTTCTGCTCGGGCTGCTTGGTACGGCGTCCCATACGGTCGAAGCACTGCTCCGTGTGCGATCGCTGTGTAGCACGCTTCGATCATCATTGTCCCTGGGTGGGCAACTGCATTGGTCTCAAAAATCATAGCTACTTCATGGGCTTTCTCTGGATGCTATTGATTATGTGCGGCTGGATGCTCTACGGCGGCTCCAAGTTCTATGTGAACGAGTGTAATGTGCACTTTGACGGTAGTTATAATTAAACAATTGATACTTTAAATATGATAAATTATTAACATATTCTCTATTTCTAGATTTCCTTGCCGCCATGCGAGCCATTGGCAATTGCAATGCCTGGGTGGGCTGGGTCATGGGCAATGCATTGCTGCACATGTCCTGGGTCATATTGCTCACCGTTTGCCAGACGTATCAAGTGGTTTGCCTCGGCATGACCACCAATGAGCGCATGAATCGTGGTCGCTACCGTCACTTCCAGGCAAAGGGCGGACAGAGCCCGTTTACGCGTGGACCGCTACTCAATTTAATTGACTTCCTGGAATGCAGTTGCTTTGGCTTGGTGCAGCCGCGACGCATCGATTGGATGAACTACTATGACTACGATGCCCAGGTGCATCAGACAATTGAAAAGGAGCCGCTGCTGCGTGCCGAAGGTGCCGATGCCGATGGACTGATCGGGGATCATCAGTATGTGTAGGACAAATCCTATCGGGATGCGAAGACGCTTCAAATGCCCATTGCGCATGTCTAACAACGATTCGTGTGCTAATAACAAAAAGACAATGCTTTAGATTTATATATACATATATATTTATATATATGCCCACCCGATTAGCTTCGTATTATTATGTTTTTAGTGATTTGTAATTGGAACGCGCTGCTGCAAACACAACGATTTAATAACAACAAAATATATAAAGACAAAAGACAGAAGCGTCGTCGCTGACCGATATCGGATCCAGTAAATGGGGCCTTTATGGCCCCACACACAAACAAACAACTACGTACATTTATTGTGCATGTATTTTACCTGTAATTACTAAACTTTGTACATTTTTCAGCACATTTCTTAATTTAAATCACACACAAATCTTTTTTAACTTCACTCTCAAGTATTTGTTATACCAAAAAAAAAAAAAAAAAAAAAAAAAAAAAAAAACAAAGAAAAAAAAAAAAGAAAAACCGAACAAAAGATGTAACTAATGCAACAAAATCAAAACAAAAGAGAACATGGAAATTATTTAAAAATGACCGATATCGGATCCAGTAAACTTAAACTTTAAACTTTCAATTTACACACAATTCAAATTTCTAAAAAAAAAAAAAAAAGCGCACAGTTGAAAACAAAAACAAAATACGAAACTTTAAATAAAAACATGTATTACAATTTATAAATGATGTGTATTCAAGAAGCAAGATTAAAGTAACATGAAATTCTAGCAGTTGCCTTTGTGTTAGCTTGGTTCGCCAATGTTTAAGCAACTAAAAAAACCAAAAAGAACAAACACCAAACAAATACTTTAATTATATATATATATATACACATATGTGGCAAAAACAAAGCGATTTGCATACTTAATGGAAACTTCAATTCTAAACGCGACCCAATTCAATATGCACTAGTCTAGTCAGCAATCATTTAAGTAAAATGTTATAGTGCAACAACAACAACCGACATATAAACAATATTGCATATTACAATATACTAAATATACATATTTATATATATATAGAGAAAGATATATACATATTATATACATATAGTTATGAAATTATGTACACCTACGATCCAAGTATCAAAGAATGAAGGAATTTCTTTAAGTCCAGCAACCTGACAACAAAAATTCAACGCGTAGCTAAAAAATATAGATATATCTCTATATATACATATATATGAAGATTGTAACACGTTACTTAAATGCATTTAAATTTAATTAACAAATTGAATATATATACACTATATATGTATGTATGTATGTGAATCACCTAAAGAACAATTTCAACTAAATAATAAATATGTAATATGTATGTAATAATTCAAACAAAAAACACAATTTTCGATGTATTTTGTATTTAAGATTATACAGAAACTTTCACTCTGCGGTTTGCTACCAAAAGTTATTTGTTAAACGATTTTTTTTTTATAAATTCTTTTGCTTGCATTGTTAGACGAAAGAAAAATTTGTAAAGAAACGCTTTTAAACAAGACTATAAAGAATAATATAATAAATTACTTCACACAAGGCGATAAACCCTAAACAAATGAACTTAATCGAAAAACAAATAACAAAAAAAAAAAAAAGAATATATATATATAAATGAGAACATCAATTTGCCTATGTCTTTAGTTTAGCCACTAAGTTCAAGACAAGATATGTGTATTAAATAGTATGTAGAATGAAATGAAATACAGTGCGAGGTGTAATGTGTAACAATGTGCGTTAAAATTTAAATAATAATAAATAGAACTTTATTCCAAATTCCAAAATGAACAAATAGGCGAATTATTATTTTTGTCTGCATTATTTGAAATGAAACTTATCTAAGCTGATTTCTGCACAAAATGGAACTAATAGATATCTAGATTTTTGCTTTCCTCAGAAAAACGGACAGGGCTCAATTGATCGGGTCAGGAATATATATACTCTATGGGGTCTGCCACGCCTCCATTGTTATCTTTACCTAAATTTCTTCAAACATTTTCAGGCATTCAAAAAGTGAATGCAGATTCCATAAAAATATAATAAAATATAGTTCAATAAAATTCAGTGTCTTGATATTTTTTTTTTTTTTTTTTTGGGTTTTAATGATTTTGCTTTTGTTGTTTTTTTGTTGTTTAATTTTTTGATGACATAATATTGTAGATTTAAATTGGTTTTGTTTGTTGCATTTTTTCATTCATTTTTTCTCGACAAATATGCGTTACATTTATTATAGGCTCGTTTTAAAAATAGATTTTTATTTGTTTACTTCATGATAAATTAAGTTTTATATATTTTTTGTTGTTATTATTCACGTTTTTGTTAAGTGTAAACCAGTTTTAATATATATATACATATATTTATACATATAAATATATATATATGCATTACTTTTATTTATATCGCATTTTATACTTAAATTTTGCTTGCAATTAGTTTGCTAATGTTAATTACAATTTGTTTTTGTATTTTTTTCCTTTTTTTAGCAGCAGGTGTAAATGATATACAATATTATGAATTGATATATGATTTGCTTTTTGCTCTTTAAGTGGTCAATTTACTTGCTTCCATGCAAATCATATGATGAGAATTAATGCGCGTTTACAACGTGCTGAATTTAATTTCTGGTCTGTTAAAATTATATAAAAGCTTACGCACTAGAAATGTTTTTGCAAAAACTAGTTGAGAATTAGAGTGTACGTCTGTGTGTGTGTGTGTGTGTAGAGACTGAAATTTTGCGATCGGAAAGCCGTGTCGGCACTGGTCGGTGTGCTATATATATATATACATATATATATATTGTGTGGGTCTTTCATCTGTCAACGGTATATAGTCGCATCTACATATATATAATTATATATATTTGATATTTAGGTGGGTTGCGGCATAGCCAGCTTGAGCTTGAATATAAGTGTTATACATAGATACATATATACATATATATATATATATAATATATGCCCGTTAGCTCTCATTTTTGGTCGGAAATGTTATCATCAATTGCCTGCACAGTGAACACGAAAAGATATCGCACGGCACATTAGAATTAAGGTTTAGCTCGAAGTAGTAGAAAGAAATATTGCAATGCGTTTCATAAGCGCACTTGATAAAGGAAAAGCAAAATAATAATTAGAGATATATAAATATATATGTAAATATGTGTGTATAAATGTTTAAGTGTTTATAGAAAGCCTTAAAACAAAATCTGTGAAAAACTGCATTCATACGCAAATCAATATCAAGTAGCTTAATTAGTTTTCGTTTTTGTTTGTTTTCTTTGATTCGAGGAACTTGGCTCACAAATATTTTGTTAGATACCCTAAACACGGTCTGTAGTTGAGTCTTTGAAGCTGATGGATATGTTTTGTGCATGTTTTTTGTTTTTGTTTTTAACTTTGATAATGCGAGAAACCTTTATTAATTGTGCTTTGAATGATGCAAGCATAACATGATATTGTGCAACGTATAAACGCAGAATTTCGCAGCTAACTGCGTTCATGCCGCAGACTTTGGATGCCGCAACAAGTGGCAAACGCTTCCATTTTGATTTCATATAAAAATTTAAATCATTAATTGCAACCTGTGTGTGTGTGTGTGTGTATGTGTATGTGTGTTTGCCCTTGTTGTGCATGTGTTATAAAATAAAATTACGTTTATGCCAAGCTTGTTCTGTATGCGTAATCACGAAATCCAAACACTCGCATAAACGTGTTCATAAATTTACGAAATATTTTATACATGCCTTAAGCTTAAGCAAAGTGTGTATACAGAGGCTTAATCTATACTTTTAATTATATATATATATCATTTTATATATAAGTTGTGTATACATAAATTGTTTATTTTTATTTTTTATTTTTCTTTAGTACACGTAAATTATTTTTTTTTGCATTTGCTTTAAGTAGTTTTTTTTTTGTTGCTTTTTCAATTTTCTTTTTAATAAAAAATATATATAAATATATGCTATTTTGAATTTGATTTTATCTCTCTGCCCATATGTATAGTTATTCTTTTTTTTTTATATTTCTTTTGTATTAGATCTGTTTAGCTTGCTTAGTTTTGTCCCTTTTTGTTTTTTTTTGTTAAATACGCGCACTTAAAATATGTATGTATATATATATATATATATATGGTGTATATAAAAGTTCAATGATTATTAGTTATACATAGATATTTATGTATATATATATATAAAGATTAGAAGTGGGGGATACCCAGTAGATTGGGTAAGCGTGGCCTAACTTTGCTTTTTGTTTTGGCTAAAAAAAAACTTTACATACGCACACACATACGTAAAAAACAAATAACAAAGCAAAGAACCAAAACAAAATATAATAATTATAAAAAAAAATTAAATAAATAACAAATGTGCATTGTAAATAGTTTTAAAAAATAAAAACTCGAGCTTAGTCTAGAAAAAGGGGCGTTACATTGCAATGCCATAAAAAAGGATTTCTCGTATGTATATATATATTTTAGTTGTATTTTTTTTTTTTTTTTTAGAAATGTTGCTATTGTGTCTGTGTGTGTGTGTGTCTTGGCGCGTGGTTATGTATTGTTTTTCGTGTTTTTTTTTTTTCTTGCAGGCTTTTTGCTTGGTTGCTTTAGCTTGGTCTCGTAATATGTATAAACTTTATCATATATTTATAAACATTAATTCCCACTGATGTTACGTCTTCTGCAGCAGCTCGCTCTGTGGGCTGGGCGGACTTGATAGCTGCTGCAGCTGCTGTTGCTGCTGCTGCTGCTGTGTTTGCTGTTGCTGCTGTTGTGCGGCATTCAGCATGGTCGGTGCAGACAGTGTGCTCGCCTGTGTAATAACTGTTGTGGCAGAGATGGTCTGTTGCTGCTGCTGTTGTTGTTGCTGCTGCTGTTGTTGCTGCTGCTGCTGCTGCTGCTGCTGTGGCACCTGCTGCAGCTCATGCTGCTGGCTTGTTTGATTGTTCAGCGGCTGGTTTGAATTGCAGAGCACCGAATAGACGGAATCAACTTTGCTTAGCTTCTCAAAGAGCGGGATCAGCTCGCGCAGTTCACAGTCGGTGACATCGTCGAACCAGGACTTGACGGGAACCTAAAATGCATCAATTGAGTAATTAAAATTCATTTAAAATGCCGCATGCTGACTTACCGCATTGTCGGGATGAAAGATATAGCTGGCCGGTGAATTATCAACAATGACAATTTTCTGTAAATCCCTACCCAAACGATTCAGATCCTTAATGTAATTACCCCTGTAATAAACGCATGATTCCCTAAACAGTCTTGCGCGAAACACATTCCACCTGCAAAGCAAATTAGATTAGATTAGATACACATTTTTACATGCTGACAATATATATTATTTTCAATAACTTGTCTTGGAATAGAGAATTGCATTCTTTTCTATATCTGTTCATTTCGATTATATTTATTTTCTTTTCATTTCTTGGCGTTTGCATTTCTATGTTTTCTTATCAATCATAACCACAGTTCTGTTCGTGCTTTATCTTGATTTTTAGCAGATCGCTATCCGAACCGCCAAAGTCATTTTAATTGCGGTCATTGCAAAGCTCTACAATATCATATCTGTTATTTTAATCTATGTGATATGATTTGTATGCTCGTTCTTGAAATCACGAGGGGTATGTTGGCTATGTCTGTAGAGACTGATAGTTGGGGAATATATAAATACGTGTTTATATGTAATAATTACTGATCCAAATGAATGTATACTTATGTAAAGTTGAATAGTTATACCATCCTAAACCATAATAGATTGGGAATAACTCTATATACTTTATTCTCATTCTCATCTGAATACATAAATGGGATCTTCAATATTATTCGAATAGATAAATCTCTATAAAATATTTGTGGTATTTCTTAATAATAATAATACTCACTTATCTAGCAGATCGGCAACAGGATCTGCATATTTGGCTAGTGATGCTGTAAACAAAACGCACTCGTACAGTTCACCCATCTTTTGCAGAAATTCATCGACATGGGGTCGCTTCAGCACATAAACCTGATGTATGGTGCCATCGATTTCCACTGGTACTATGAAATCGGCATTAGGTATAGGCTATAAAAGATAAGTATAGAGGGATATATTGGTAGCTCTACATAAGAGAGACCTTCTTGACTTTACCTTAAAACTACTGTGCACTAGAGTTTCGTCCAAATCGATGACCATACACTTTTTATGCATATCGGAGTGCCTAATTTGAGGTAGTAGGTACCTTTGTTGGTCCGGTAGGGGCGGCGGTGTTGTCGAACCGTCGATCTGTGTGCCATTCTGGTTTGTTTTCGTTCGATTTCGTCGCCAACAGCAGAGTAAAGACTGTAGAATTCCTCGTTTTTGTGGCTTTAAACGATCCACATCTTCTGTAAGTTAAAATATATGATTAAATATAGAAAATTTGTTAGGTTCGCTCTTTTTGGAATGTAGAATTTATATATAAATACATATAAATTGCGTCTAAATTTAAAAAATAACACCCTTTATTTGGGTTCTATTTAAGACGGGGATAATAAAAATAAAATCAAAGTGAAATTGCTAAACAAGTAATTATAGATTTGCTAAAGCTACCTGCTTGAGCAGGCAATTAACTGTTGTAGATTATATGTGTATATTTATAACAGCTACAGTTTTTCTGTGCTATATTTATAACAGCTACGGTTTATCTTTACTACATACATATATATAGTATATAACAAGTAGAGTTAATCTGTGCTACACCTGTACTACCTACATATATACCAGTCAAAATTAGCTAGCTCTGTGCTACAGCTGTACTAATCTATATAACAATTACAGTTACACTCAAATTTCTCCCTTTTATTTGGCAATTTGTCTACGTCTAAGGCTATATTTAAACCTTGCTAAAAAAAGTCGCTCAAGGTCGCGCCTAACAACTTTGATCGACCAATTAATGCGGCCTATAATAATATATATGTATGTATGCAAGTATGTATGTATATGCACTCAAATATATTCATAAAAGCGAAAAGTATATATGCATATAGATAAAGAAATCAGCATGTAAATGGCTCGTTTTCTTAAAATAGAAAACTCAAATGAAATGAAATGAAATTTATATGTGGCAAAAAGGAAAAACCCACTGCGACATATGTGCGACGGGCTCTTCAGGGGCTGCTGGGGAGTGAGGGGGTTGCAGCGGTTATATAGTCGCAACTGAAGTATACGTGCATGCGTTTAATCGATGGAAAATGCTATTGCTATAATTGCATACACAGACACGCACACACACACACACACACACAAACACGCACACATACGCGTGCAAACACACTCATGCATAGACAGCCCCAAGAGACACGCACAGTTAAGAAGGTCGCCGATTGACCTTTAAGCCCCGAATGGTTAGCGCCTCAGGTGCGGGCGCCACGCCCCATCGGGTCCACCCCTAAGCAAAGTCAACTGCATTTGGCTCTCCTCTCCACCCCTCTCCACTTCTACTTCGTCTACTTCTGCTGCTTCTGCCTCTTGCTAGTTGCTGTGTGGGGCACAAAGAAAATGGATTTCAAACAGCACTCGAGCTGTTTGCAACAGCACAGCGCATGTAGCTTGTGGCATGTGGCATGCGGCACGTTGCAGCAAGGATTGCAGCAACAGCAGCAGCAGCAGCAGCTAAGCCAGACATTAAGACGCGCGCTTAGTTCAATGAACCGTTAGCTAGCGAAAAGCTGAGCACCATTAGCAATCCGAGCACCGCCCCCTCCCCCTCCTCATGCCCCATTTACAAAAAGGGGGCCGACATTGTGAAGTGCAACTGTACCTGAATATTTGATGAGCGAACCTCGACAGCATAATGAAAGCCCAGACTAACTGCTCAACAAAGAGCTGAGAGCATTTTAAAGGCACACACACACACACAGACGTACACACGCACACACCTGTGCTTATTAGCCAGGTGAAAGGTGAAACGCCCCGCACTTAAAGAAACATATTTTATCATAACTTTACATAAACAGGATGGCGCGAATCGTTGGCAATTTGTCGCCTACTTGTTGAGCAACATTTCGTATGCCTATTGATACTGGCAATACACACACACACACACACACACACACACACACATACACTTGTATATCCCCATATATCTATATTTAGGTCTGTGGGCTCTGCTCCTGCTCCCGCTCCTGACTGATGCGCACGCCCATCGCACGAAGCGCTTTAGCTGCGCATTGAAGCAGAGCCTAACCCCTAAATCCCCTTCGCGCTAGACACCCACCCGCCCCTGGCCACATCCCTCATCTGGCGGTCTTTGTCCTATTTTTAAGGCTTTCAATTGAATTATTGACTTTGCAGGCTGTGCGTGGGCCTCCCCCTCTTTTTTTCTGATTTGCCTGTTTTTTATGTCATCTTTGTTTATTTTGGTTCTGGCACATTTATAGCTCCACTTTATGATCGCAATTTGTCCATCAGTTTTAAATAGATTCCAAATTTGGCATTCAGCCGAACGTAATAATCGCCAGATGAAATAAATAAGATTCAAATCTGTGAGTGGGTACATCAAATGTGAAATGCTCCGGTCACGAATTCCGTGTCTTTGCCGGCTTTTATTTTATTTTATTTTATTTATTTATTTTTTCATTTCTTTTGCTTTAAGTGGTGCCATATATTGTAAAAAGCTAAGCTCTTTAAAAGTTCAAAACAAAAAATGAGTAAAAATATTTAATATATAGAATTAAATAATTTACATTTCATATACACGTAAATTGATTGGGCCAAGGTTGTACTCCTTATAAGTATATATAAGCATGTAAAATTATATATATGACATCATATGTTATCATAAAAGAGTTGAGCCCATATAAATCTTTTAGAGACTTGAATATTCTTGAACCTAAGAAATTTTGTGCGGCTTGTTTTCATTCAAAAATTGTGTTTTTCATTTCGCCCTTTTTAATGAGTATATAAACAAGTGAACAAGTGAAATGAGTATATTCGTTTTATGTAAACTATTTTTCCTTTGTTGAAACTAGAGAATTTTAGTACTTGGAACATATAATCTAATCCCTATATGCATGAAAGAACGATACAAACTATATCTATAAATTCAGAGTTATCAAATTCCCGTGTATCCATAAATGCTCTACCATAAGATTTTCATAGCATTGTAATATAACTTATTTCTTATTTCATTTATATATAATTTATTTCTGTACGCTCTACACTCGTTTTTAATTAAAGCCCTGCCTATTGCAATTACTCAGTCAGCCCTTTCACTACCTTCCGCCTTTCTATACGCATTTTATGAATTAGTTTGAGCTTTTACACAATTAGAGCGTAATTATTTTCAGATTTGTTCTACTTATGCACATGTTTTCAACAGAAAACAGCAGCTGCCTGCATCTGTGGCTCATGCATAGAATTAAATAAGTTGAGATTTATGTAATGAGCATGAAAGCAAAAGTGATTTAGTCGAGTATGCTCGACTGAGAAATACGCTATATATACTTTTCCCATTTTACTAACTATTCAGTTTATGAAGACTCTTAACTTGTGTTTGCTCTATACAGCCATCATCCTTCCCTGCTAATTGGTTAATCTATATGCAATTTGTGCAGAGTATTTCGAGTGCATTCATTTATGTTAATCTGATATCTGAAATCCGCAGCAGACTGTTAAACGACCTTACGCGTCAATTGGGAAATATATTTTCGCATTTAAAGCTTGCCGACGCGAAATGGCAATGAAAATGACAAGCTTTTCTTTTGTTTTTGTTTCATTATTAATTATATTTCATATATGTGCATATATAGACAGAGAGAGGGAGAGATATATGGAACTATATAGATATGCACGGCGCAAGTGTGTACTTTGATAATTAATTGAAAGTCAAATATAAAAGCAAGAATGAATTAAAGTCATATAATAGCTACAAAGGAGGAAACTAGAGAGAAAGAGAGAGTAGGGAAGATAGTGTGAGAGAGCACGCCCTAACTTTAAACATTTGTGCTGTCCCTTATCTAATCGCGTTCACAATGTTTGTTATCTTCCGTTCATACATATGATATCATTTTCCAGTTCTTTTGCGCGCTGGCCTTAAATGTTGAACGGCTCGACCTTCAGCATATTTCTCGTTGGCTAACAAAAAAAAAATGTGTTGGCGACCTGTAAACAGTTTCTTTTCATTTCTGTTTTTTTTCTCCTTCTTTCTGTCCGCTCAACTTTTGCACGTGATGTTTGCACACCTGTCACACAAAAGAAATGCGAGAGAGCCAGCGCGCAATATTGGGGGTCGACTCTCAGGGGAAGCTGTAAAGCTGAAAGCTGGCGACCCTTTTGTTGCATTCGCACACAAAGACGTCGGCTTTTTGGGGTTGGAATTAGCAAATCCCCCACGCAAAGGTCAATGAACCAGTGCCTGCCGCCATCGCCGCCCCCTTTTTGTTTTTTAACCAGATAGTATTCCGCTATAGTTCCTTTTATTCAACTGTTGAATGGATCCAACCAGAGCGCCAAAAATAAATTAATTATGGCTTTTTCAGCTGAATATATACATACATCCATCAAAGTGTATATATATAGATGGATAGATAGCTGTATCTATATAGGAAATGTGTTGCTACTGAGGCCATCAAAATATTTTTCTTTTCTGTTTTTTTTTTTTTTTTCTATTTCGCACAGCATATATTCTGCTCATGGTTATATATCTATATATATACAAAATCTGTATTAATATTTGTTTATTAATATTATGTATATTTCTTTTTAATAACTGCACGAATACATATATATGGAAACTATTTCAACGTCGAAGGCAAAAAATAAATAAATAAAAGAAAAACAGATATATAGATAAAGAAAATGCTCAACGAGCAGTGAAAAGATTTTTCTAATTAGTTTGCACTTAGCATTGCAAAAAATACAAAAAATATGTCTAGTATTTCTTTTGCTGATTTTTACAATGTTTAAGATTTCATATGCAATAAATATTATTAATCAATTAAAAATTGTATATAAAATTAAAAATCAATTAAAATGTGATACAAAATTATAAATCAATTATACATTTTACATAATATTTCAAGCTCATTCTCTAACTTCTCCCTAATGTAAATATTATTGATGTCACAACACCATACATAATTAATATGTCGATACCTAATTGTAATATTAGACTATTCTGTTTTTTATTTTCCTATTTTTTTGTTTTTTAATTGCTCTCTAAACATTTAATTATTATTTCTTAGCGAATTGCTAGCATTTCATTAGCTGGTTTATATAAACAAATGTTTGACCGAACTGGTAAGCCGAATAGTTATTGCAAACAGTGTTGCCCATCACTCAATTGCACGCTCTCTTTATCTCTATGTCACACACACATACTCAAGAGAGAGAGGCAACGCAATAGACTTATTTTTGTCTGTTGATGCACACTATGTAAAGCAATTCGCAATAGCTTAATTATAATAATTATTCGTTATCTATTAAAAATTTAATTACAAATAATAAAATTATATACGTTTTGTTAACTTTGCATTAACACCTTTGTCTCAGACAAGAAAAAAAAAAAAAAAAAAAAACTAATGCTTATATAGACAATATATATATTTATGAATGATTTATTTAATTTCGAAAGGGCAAAATAAGCTTTTGCTGATGTATGTTTGTGTGTGTGCGCGTGCGTAAGTCATTTGCTTTGCTTGGAAGACCTTGGGAAATTGAAAATCACAGACAATCCCAGAGCTACTATATAGCGAGAAATGAGATACTAGAGTGTTTGCCCATAAAAACAAAATATATGTATGTATGTGTGTCTATATAAATATTTAAGCACTTAGGCGGCACCCACACTCACAAATAAAAAGTATTAAAAAAAAAAAGAACAAGAACAAAAAAAAAAACAGCAACAACATATTTCATCTGTTGCCGGTTCTAATGCTCTGCACCTTCTCACACCCACACATGCCAAATAAAAAGAAAGAAACGAAATAAAAAGAAACGTAGCAATTACTGGGAGACAGCTGTGTGGCATTGATGACGTCGCCGCAGCTCTTATTGTCATAAAGCTCAACAAGTCGAAAGAGTGAAGAAAAGGCCTACAATACACACACACACACGCGCACTAGCATATCTGTATATGCACACGGAAGTGTGTCCCATTAAAGATAAATATTTGAGTTTCAGTTTGAGCTGACTTGGCAGCACTGTCAAAAACGACTCAAAAGCAAAACGAGCAAACTTATTAAGCTAGAAACGAGAGATGTCAATTAGCACCTAACCGCAACATTTTTTAAATGTATGTGTTTCATATACACAAATATAATTATATACATACATTGTATATATATATATTTGTAATGTATGGTTGTTCGGCCTGTTTTGTTTTTTTTTTTTTGCGACCGCAGATTAGATTAAATTTTGTTGTTACTTTAAGAAGGCACACGTCTCGAGTCGTCTTGCCGGGGCCCCGCCTCGCACTTTATGCGCTCTACTCTGCCGTTGCAGCAGAAATAAAAAGAAATATAAAAGCACACACACACACGCTCCTATTAATATACATACATACATATATATACGCGTGTATATAACTAAAGGCAAACAACACACATACATGCGCACATTCATATGTGCGAGTATGCAACTTCTTTTTTACTTTTTGCTCTCTTTCTTTAAACAAAATTGTGCTCTCTGCAGTTTTCATTCAAGCTTTTTTTTTTCTTTTTGTGAGCTACGCTTTGTTAATTGTCTGTTGCTTTGTTTGTTTGTTTTCACGAAAAGTAGTCAATACCGGGTTCGCCCTCTTCCTCTCGCACTGCTTATCTTAATTGTGAATAGTGTGCAATTTAATTGCGGTTTCAATTGTTTTTGTTTCTGCTATCCCTCTCACTCTCTGACTCTATCTCCCTTTGCCGTCTTTGCCGTCGTCCTACCAAGCGGACATGCAAAGGCAGTTAATGTATCGCAATTTACAATTTGTTCTGCCGTTGATTTCTGCTGTTCGCGTGCACTGGGCAGATGCATGACGTCACAGTTGATTACAGGTGGCGCTCTGAGAGTTGCAAGTTGCGACGTCAGAAGCTAGCAGCAAGTGGTTAGATCATTCACAATAGGCAAGAAAACAGCTGCGCATAAACATGCAAACATGCACACACACACAAACACACACATACATACATACATACATACAGTTTGTGTGCGAGACAGTGAGAGAGCAATACTATAGCTATCGGAGTAAGCTGGTTTGGGGTGGAGGAGCTTCAATAATTGCTAAGGTCAGAGGGGTGGCCACTTGTCCTTTAAGTATTTTTATTTCGTCTTTGTTGTGACGCCGTTTGGGCTGTCGCATGACTCATTGGACTCTCATACTTTCATAGTTTAAGTGTGTGTGTTGTTGTTTCTTACCTCCTTTGTCGCTTGGATAGACATTCAATTGTTCATCATCGCGGGAAACTTGTGTTATTATTGATGTTGCATCCATTACACAGCGTGTTGCAAGCTGAACACTCCTCTGCTTTAATCCAAATAAAGTCTACAGGTCGAAGTTGCAAAAAAGCGTTTATTTGTAAATTTAGCTGCACAAAATAATACACATACACATTATATTAATACATATTTTTTTTGCACACATTTTCCTTAGAAAACTTCATGTTTTCTTTATATAGAAACAACACACATTTATATACACATATGCATGCATGCATGTACGTGTGTGTGTTTGTGTAGCGCAGACTGCGACGTCGACTGCGACTGCGACTGTTGCCTGTGCCAGACAGTGGAATTTTACAATTACGCTTTGACAGCCTCATTCGTTGGTTTCGTCGTCGCAGAATGCAAATGATTTTCCCTCGCGATATTCACCTTTTGCAGCTTTACATGTAGAAATGCACTTTCGCCTTTCGTTACTTTATTAAAAAAATTAATTAGAAATGTATTAAAAATACAACGGAACTCAGCATAAAAACAGTTTCTTTTCTTGCACTGTTGTTTGGGCACATTCTTTATTTTTCTTGGCGTCTACTTTTTGCACGCAGCTTCTTGGCGTTTTATTTATAACGCACTCACTCGTCACACACACAAACAAACGCAAACACACAACACACACACACACTTGCATTTATACAGCACACAGGCACTCCTATTTGCTTCGATTTTCTCAATTGCTTGCTCTCGTTATGGTAGTTTATTTCGATATCGCACTCATTTTGAGTATTCATTAATTATTTAATATTAATTGTATTCAAAACTCCGCGCAAAAAAACAAAACGTGTGCTCATCGAAAAAAATGTAGCAAGACTGGCTTTAAGTGTTGTCACCATAAGCGGACGAAACTAGAAATAGAGCTGCCAGACACAATAAAATGTAAACGAAATGTTATTAACGGCGACGAGGGCTGGAGTAGCTTAACATCTATTAATTGAATTCTAATTTTTTATTAAGCATGGGACTATAAGGGGATTTCTAAATTTTTAAATTATACAATAAGAGCAAAAATATAGTATTACTTTATTTAACTTATTATTTTTTTTTTTTTTTTTATATTGCTAAAATATCTTGGTCTTGTATGAACTAAATGAACGGCACTCGAAAGCTCAGTTCCACAAAACTTTGTCCGAATGATTTTGTGGAACTAGTGCCCGGTTGACAACCGGCTATGAAACAAAAATAACTTTATATAATAATATCAAAATTAATTAAAAGATGCCGCGCAATCCCAATGCCGAGCGTGATAATCCCTGCTTAAAAGTAAGCAAATCGGTAAAATGGTATATACAGATATAAATAACTATAATTGCAGGAGCAAGAGCTGTCTTTCAAATGTCTAAACAAAAACAATTTTGACCGGGATAAATGCGAGGTCTACTTCGCTAATTACAATAATTGCAAAGAATTTTGGGTAAGTTCTCAAACCGAACAAATCCTGATCAACAGAAACTAATGAAATTCTCTGCAGAACAAAGTACGCTCCGATCGCAGAGCACAAGGAATCGTACCCTATTTACCGCCCGTTGAGGAGCGCGCGGAGATAAAGGCTGATTACATGAAAACCAAACCAAAATTGTGATATATAAATAACAAATGATAAAAAGTATATTTCAACAAAGTTAAATTTTGCTATGTATAGTATCAGCTGCCATTACTTTCAGTGGCGGCATCGCTAGCTCCAACATGGCAACAGATAATTCCATTTCGAGAGATTGCTTCGGATCATCGATAATGAGAAGCTTCAATTGGGGCAAGCGATAGAGGCAGGCTAATCCTCTATGCGTAATCGATGTATTTGATATATCCAGTACTTCCAAGTGCGGGTAATCGCCACCAGAAATGCGATCCAAGCACCAGTCATCGAATGGCTTTACGTTGTGCAGGGATAGAAATTTAAGATGCTCCAAACTCCGTAAATTCTCCAAGCCCTCGTAGTACAACTGCATGTTATCGCAGCGAAGCGCTTCGAGCTTATAATTAGCATTAAATTTATTTGGCAAATTAAATTCTCCATCCTCTGAAGCGCGATGCCACCGCTTGTCGTTCAAGAACTTGGCTGCACCTCCTCGATAAAGTACGAAATGGGCCGCGGCCAATTCGGGCCCGAGAATCTTGTGGCGTTCGGGCACATATTGTTGCATATGTCGTTCGATTCGCTCCTGGCGTTTGGTCCACCATTTCTTGACGCCCTTCGGACTCAGATCGATGGGCCGTTGCATCATGACAATGAAATCTGATGTTTGCTCTGAATTGGCGAAGAGTTTCAATTTGCTATTCCAGTCCTCGGGACGATCTCCGATCGGAGTTCTCCAACTGAGTTGTTGTTTGTCTTGTGCGAGCTGCTGACGAATCCTTTTCACAGTGGCACTCACTTCTTCCTCTGAATTGTGGCTGGGCAATGTGCTCGTATAGCGATACGCAAGGTGCGCACCTGGCTGCAGCCTTCTCAATCGCATTGACAAATACATAACTAGATTATTTAACAAATTTTGTTGTAGTCAATTCAACAATAATATTCCGAAAAACTACTTGCACAAAACGTAGTCAGCTGAGTGAACAGCTGGATCTTAACTTTCAAATGATGTGGCAACGTCTAGCAGACGCCATTTTTTCCTGTCTTATGCAGCCCTGGCCGACTGCGTGAAAAAACGTTTGTGCTATTGCAAACGTTTGTAATCATTTTTAATAAGAAAAACTTGTACAATTCCACCGAAAACTCAACTGAAGGTCACATAAATGTGCAGAAAGTGCTCGCCAATCATTTTGGCATAAAGCGTGCAGGAAGTTTGCATTCAAGCTGCTGGAAATTTGCTGGTGAATCAGCATCTATACGCGGAGGCAAAGGCAGCGTCTTCTAATTAATATCTACACGCGAATCAAAACGCAATATGGTTAATACATCTGGCAGTGAAGATGGTCAGCTGCGCAGCCCCAATGACGGACACTATATCAGGTGTGTAAAATGTTATATATATTATACATATGTATGTATATGTATACATATATTGAAAAGCACATCAAATTGTTGCTGCATACACATACACACGCACGCACGGAGAACACGAATACATTCACATGCATGCGCGCGTGTTGCTATGTGTGTTTGTGTGTGTATGTGTGGGAGCTACCGTATTAAGTGCGACCACTAAACCAATTTTCTATTTGAAAGCGTTATTTTCTGATGTTTATTTACGAACAACAAAAAATGAAAAACTTTAAAACATAACATTCATGTAAACAAAAAAAACACACGATTTACTGATCAAGAGGTGGCGCATTCTGCAAGTCCGCTTGTCTGCGTACAAAGGAAACAAAGACAATGATTCCAATTTCGATTTATGTAGCTCTCGAAAGTTATTTCTGTGACGTACACAGGAAAAAAAAGGATTTACATTTGCAACACCTGCAGATCAGTCAATAGTGTACGTTCTCACACCTACATATCCTTTTTTTCGCTTGCTTATCATATGTACAGTATATAATGTACAAATTTGCATCCCGTATACTCTGCTACCCAAATGTTAAACAATAACAACCAAAAATAAATCCAATTTATTGACATTACCATAATTTTTGCATATGTACCGTTTAATTGACTTGAGTTTTTTCGTTGCAAATAGGCCAAAAAGTGTGTACTTGTCCCAAAATGACCGAGGCGCGCGATGGCCAACAACTAAAACTAAACTTAAAATAAAAACAAAAATAAATACAAAAAAACAAAAAATTACAAATAATTATACAAAATGAACGCAAGATATGAAATTCAAATTTAAAGTGTGCCCAGCAGCTCAAGTGTGTAAAATGGCAAATCCACAGCGAACAGCAGGCCCAGGATATGGCCAACTTCTCAAACCCAATATGAAATGACTCAAGAAAATGCCTTTAAATGACACAAAGACAGACGAGAGAGAGTGAAGATCGTAAGGTCTGGCGGTAAATCGAATACAACTTTCTGTTCAATAACAATGCTAATGCCTTTCCAAGTCCTGTTATCTATATACGCATTCTTATACATATATAGATCTCTAAATCTTTGTCTTTTGTCCCACGCATTTCAAAAAAAAAAAAAAAAGTTTATAAATATATTTTTAGCAGAGTTTGCAGTCGTAAGTTTACATTTTACAGCCCATCGGAATTTCAACTCAATGCCCCAAGGGAATTGTTTGTTAACCAATTGCCAATGTTCAAATGGGGTTGGCCGGACAGGTAAGTACATAAAACAGTGGAATCTTGAATAACTCATTATTATGCCATGTTTATTATGAATAATATTACTTTCTTCAACTTTTTACCATAACAACTTATGGCGGATATAGTAAATGGTTAAAAGGTTTGACTTCTTAAGCGAACTTCATGAATCTGGGATCTCTTCAAGCTGAAACTTCACTGATATATTGAAGAAGAATTTTTACAGTGCTTGAAGCATTTTAACCTCATCCGTAGCCAATGTATTATTAGCCATTATTATTATTAGTATCTTTCATCTCGATTTTTAGATATATTTATATATATATTTCATATGTCTGCTTTATGTATTTAAACTTCTTGCACTTTATTCCTTAACTTTTAAATGTTCAACAAGATGTTTCACAGTATATCTATTAAATCCCTTAGGTTTCGTAGGTAAGATCTGTAATATGAGTATTATTCAAGGATTCCACTGTATTAATATATACAACTAATGAATGCACATCTACAACTTCGTATTATTTGCTAATATACTACACCGAAAGTTGTTTATTGTTTTTCTTTGATTATTGTCAATTTCCACCCAATGTTCAAGCAGTAATGCGCTCTTCCATTATTGGGGCCTTGAGACTTGAAGCTGAGCTGGGCAACGTAAAATGTAATCAACGACTAGCAAAGCACTGCAACAACATCAGTCAATCGACAACAACTTGAGTGACAAGAACAGCAAACAGTGTCAGAGCGCGCCTCGTGGCATCATCTTCAATTCAGAAACTGGTTGCACACTTTCGGGAAAAACAACGATAAATTCAATATTTCATGCAATTGGCGTCAAAGTTTGTGTAAAATGTATTTTGTCTTTTCTCTTTTAGCGGCGAAGATGACCACGACGCTGATGCCCTTTACATACAACCGCCACAGGCTGTCAGCAGTCAGGGACGAGACGCTACGAGTTCGCGGCGAGAGAAGAAAAAGCATTCACGGGACCGGCGCCACAAGGAGCGCAGCAGCCTGGAGGAGCGGGAGCGGGAACGTGAACGAGAGCGGGAGCGTGAAAGGGAGCGCTATGAGTATCGAGGATCTCGTGAGGATCTGGAACAACGTTATCATCAGCACCATCAACAGCATCGCAGTGAACGAGCCAAACATCATCTGAGCCACGCCTATCAATATCAGCAACAGCTCCCCTTGCCGCCGCCTCCCCAGAGCTATGTCCATCACCATCATCATCAACAGCAATTAATGAGCTTATCCCGTGCTGGGGCGCGTGCCGAATACTATCATAGCAGCCGGCATGTCAATTACGTAGAAGTGGAGCAGCCGCCGTTACCATCTCAGCGTCGCTCCAGCAAACATGGCTACGAGCAGCCAAAGGATGCTGAGAGCTTGGAACAGGATCTGCGCTCACGACTGCTCAGCAAGCGGCACAAATACGTTAAAGACTATGAGATGGAGGAAAACTACGAGCAACAACATTCACATAGTCGACGCAAGGAGCGGGAATCTCGGCACAGCAGCCACAGTCACAAACTGCGCCACGGTCAGGTCATCGAGCTGCTGGACAGTCCCGAGTCAGGAGCAGTGCCGCATCAGTCACATCATCGTAGCAAGCAAAGACGTTCTGAGATCGAGGAAGCCGCCGATCCTGTGCAACATCATCGCACAGTTTCTACTGATCCAGAGTTGCTGGCACGACGAGAGAAAATCTTGGCTGCCGAGCGTGAGAATCGCAAGCGCAAGCAAATTGCACGCGAGGAGCTGGAGGCGCGTCGGGAGCAACTGCTACGTGAACGCAATGAGCACAGCGATGCACTCAGTCCCAGCGCTGTGGCAGCCAGTGTAACCGCTGGGCTTAATCCTGTCAAGCGCAAGCAAAAAATTAAACTAGAAGAGGAGCACTACGAGCATCGAAAACGAAGCAAGCAGCAGTCGGGTGAGGAAAACAAGCGGCAAGAGAAGCCAGCCGAAGATGGCACCGAAGACAGTGACGACAGTGACTCCGATGAGGATGACGAAGACGAGGACAGTGGCAGCGAGGAGAGCGCCAGCGACTCTGCAGAGAGTGCTGAGAGCAGCTACGAACAGCCGCCACACAAGAAAAACAAGAGAAAAATCCCCCAACCCGACGATGATGACGATGTGCCACTGCCAGATAGTCCACTGAGTGTGGGCGCTCTTTACAAGTCGCCGAAGCAAAGACCTCGTTCTCGCTCCGCCAGCTCCAAGAGCTCGGCGCATAGTCACAGCAGTGCAGCCAGCAGCAAGAGTCGTCACAGCAGTCGAAGTCATAGCAGTCGCAGTCGGTCCCGTTCCCGATCGCCAATCAGTAGCGGGGAGGAGCAACAGCGCTCACGTAGCAGCAGCACGCGCAGCGAGGAGCGCGGCATGGCCCAACAGCAGCTGCAACAGCAGCCGCAGCCGCTGGATAGTAGTGAGACCAGCACTGCAGATAAGTTGTCAAAGGCACCTGTTGAGGATTTGCCGCCATGTGATGACAAGGGTGTGCCTCTACCCAACTATTATCCGGGCGTGCAGGGCTGCCGTTCGGTAGAAGAGTTCCAGTGCCTCAATCGCATCGAGGAGGGCACCTACGGCGTTGTCTACCGCGCCAAGGACAAACGCACCAACGAAATAGTCGCCTTGAAGCGTCTGAAAATGGAAAAGGAAAAGGAAGGCTTTCCCATAACATCGCTTCGAGAGATCAATACGCTGCTAAAGGGCCAGCATCCGAATATTGTGACGGTGCGTGAGATTGTCGTTGGTTCCAATATGGACAAAATATTTATTGTTATGGACTATGTGGAGCACGATCTCAAATCTCTGATGGAAACGATGAAGCAGCGCAAGCAGAGCTTCTTTCCGGGCGAGGTGAAATGTCTGGCCCAACAGCTGCTGCTCGCTGTCGCCCATCTGCACGACAATTGGATACTGCATCGTGACCTGAAGACCTCCAATCTGTTGCTCTCCCACAAGGGCATACTTAAGGTGGGTGATTTTGGCTTGGCACGCGAATACGGCTCGCCTTTGAAGAAGTATACCTCCTTGGTGGTCACGCTGTGGTATCGAGCGCCAGAGCTGTTGCTCTGCTCACCGGAATACTCGACGCCCATAGACGTGTGGTCTGTAGGCTGCATTTTTGCCGAATTTTTACTAATGGCGCCGCTCTTTCCGGGCAAATCTGAAATCGATGAGCTCAATCGCATCTTTAAGGTAAGAGAATGTAGTTTAGCAATTTATGCATTTATTATTAATTGATTGTAATCTTTTTTATAGGAACTCGGCACACCCAACGAAAAGATCTGGCCAGGGTATTCGGAACTACCGGCCGTTAAAAATATGCTGAGCCAGAACTCACAGTTCACGGATTATCCAGTGTCACAGCTGCGTAAACATTTCCAGGACAAAACATCAGATGCGGGACTTGGACTGCTGCAGGGCCTGCTCACATATGATCCAAAACAAAGACTGACTGCTGATGCGGCGCTTAAGCATGGCTACTTTAAGGAGCTACCCCTACCCATCGATCCATCCATGTTTCCCACTTGGCCAGCCAAGAGCGAGCTGGGCGCACGCAAGGCGCAGGCATCGTCTCCAAAGCCACCATCCGGTGGCTCGCAATTCAAGCAGCTGGGCCGTGATGAGCCCATGCCAACTGCCACAGCTGGTGGCGGAGCTGGTGCTAAGCTCGCCTCCGGGATCATCACTGGCAACAAGAAGAGCGGTGCAACGGCGGCCAGCACAGGATTTGTACTGAATGCGGGTCTGACGCAACGGCAGCTGGCAATGGGTCCAGGCTTCAGTCTGAAGTTCTGAGACCGATTTGTGTGTGGTGTGTACAACAGATTCGTAGCCAATTTGAATAATTGTTATGTATAGTTTAGCGTGTAAGATAAAAAATGAGGAAACAAAAGATATCGTTTTAATGTATGTGTACAAATATTGTTCCAAATATAATTTAAAAGCCATACAATCACACAACGCACTATAAATAATCACCATGTAAACCAGAATTGATCCATTCATTAAGGGAAAGTTCTTCCATATCATTCACCAATTGCTGATCCATCCATTAATAACTTTGTGTCCTTAGCCTAATATGGAATACTTGTTGCATGCAGAGCCTCAAGTGGACCACAGGTAGAAGTAGGTGTTCTGCCATTGTGGCACGTATTCCTTCAGAGGTCCGGCAACCACTTTGGCAATGGGCACATTCTGTGCCACAAAGCCCAAAATTCGTTCGATTCGCGTCTTACTGTACTTATCGTAAAATGGACTGCGTACGAGGAAGTACAAAAGATTAATGCAGCGCCGGCTTAGCTCCAATTTCTGCTGCTTGGACATCAAGTGGCGGTGCTGGCGATACAGATGTACGCTATATAAATCCATGGAAAGCGCTATTATGTACTGCTTCCAGCTGCGCTGCCCAAACAAGCCCATGGCCACCAAATGGACGAGCGGCTTGGCTATGTACAAGTACTCCGCTTGCAGCAGTTCACGTGGTATTTGTGTCTTGGCTGCATCCGCATTGTCCACATGCAATTTGAAGTCGCGATATTGAATGGGCGGTGCGCCCTCGACTTTGCGTATGAGGCGCCCTGAACGTTTCAGCTTAAAAGTTATGGAATGCTCCGACTGGGGCACACTGTCAGCTGCTGCGGCGTCGGCTTTGCGCTGCTTGCTCAGCGCACGTCGATTTACAGCTGCGATGGGCGGTGACGTGATTATGTCAGATGTGGAATGCTTCAGTAAAAATAAGCGGCCAGCTGCCTTGCACACTTGTATGAGCGCTATCACCAGCCACTTGCCCGTTTGACCAAACAGGCGGCGCGCTGATATCTCGATAAACACTTCACAATATTCGAGCGTCGTCAGTGTGACCTTTAGACGGTAGCAGAGGCCGGACTGCAGCCGGAGTACGGCATTCTCGTTGGCGCCACGTGCCTTTTCGATAATGCGATCGTTGTAGAACACCAGCATATTGGATAAGGTGTATACTAATTCGGAGAGGACGTTGGAGTTCGATATGCGACCTAATAAAATCGGAAATTGCATCACCAATCCACACAACAAAAAAATTGGTTGCTTATCAATGTAAAAACTTTACCTGCCACAAAGTAGGAGACCCATTTGGCCGTTGTCTCAAAGTCGCCCACAACATCTGGATTTTTGGCCACCCATGCCTCGTAGGACTTAAGTAAGCCCTTTAGCTGGTCCATCATAGATTGAAAAACAGCTCGTCTATAGAGAAAACAAATTCAATTGCCGCTGCTTTGTTTCCTTCTATTGCACTGAAAATACAACAAAACAGTGACATTCGCCCCGAAGCAAGTATTTTCGATAAGTACCTAAGCTATCGAAATTACCATCGATATCTTTAACACCTTTGGCGCTATTCTTATAAGAAAACACACAACTTGTGCTCTTTATCAAGTAAAACGTTTAATAAATTTAAAATTTAAGCTTTAAAGTTATCCTTTTCCTTGCGCAAAGCTTCCATGGTGCCAATGGGATTTGCCGAAATGCCAGCATGATTCTGCACGGTAGCCTCATGAACGCGCATAAAAGGATTCCACAATTTCTCCTCGCCAATGGTGGATGGAACTGTTGGGTCTTTAGTTGCGCGGCGCAACTTAGCCCATTCAATGCGATTCTGTACATTTTTATTGTCCGGCTCCACATGACGAGCAAAACTCATGTTCTGCAGCGTATACTCATGGCCGCAAAAGACTTTTGTATCATCCGGCAAAGCCGAAAGCTTAGCACACAAAGCATCATACATCTCCTCCGGTGTGCCCTCAAAGAAGCGACCACAGCCGCCTTGGAAGAGTGTGTCGCCAGTGAAAACGGCGCCAGCCTCATTGCCATTTGTAGCTGTGACATAATAGCAAATGTGGCCGCTGGTATGACAGGGAGTCGACAAGCAGCGCACCTTGAGGGTGCCAATGGTGAATGTTTCATCCTGGCAAACTTTGTGATTCATTGCGCCAATACGTTCATCACCGCCATAGACCTCCAGTTTACCATCCCACATCTTGACCAAGCGCTCATTGCCGCCGGCGTGATCCCAGTGATGGTGAGTAGTCAGAACTTTGTTTAGCTTTACATTCGACTCTTTCACTGTCTTGATGACCAGCTCTGGATCCACGGGATCTACGACAGCTGCCTCTTTTGTCTTGCTATCCACAATCAGATACATATAGTTATCCTGTAGAGCAGGCAGGATTTTCACCTGCATGCTGTCCAGCGTGACATCTTCCAAAGAGCTATGCATGCCTCTTAATCCAACTGTTCTCAATTTTTGTACTGCGAAAAAATTAAATAAATACACATATATGTATATGAATTACAATAGTAACTAAAGTGATTGCATGCACATTAAACAGATAATTATGTTGATTAGATTAGGAGACAAAAAAAGATTACAATTGACGCGAGACAATAACGGGACAACCAGACACCGCTTTAATGATCCAGCACCAGCACCAGGGGACGCACTAACTGCAGCTCCGTGCGCAGTTAATTTGGACAAACCTCGAAAGTAGTAGGAAGTCAATTGGGTTTCAATGTTTCTCCAGACTGACGAAAACATTTAGGCGCTTCAATTTGGTTATCTTTTATTGCTCGTTAACCTAAGGCACAGGATGATGATGCTTATTTACAGTTAAATATGTATGTCACCAGGAAAGTGCCGGAACACTTGATAATATATATAATGTATATGTGTAGTGTAGCTGTTTTTTTCCTACGAGCAGCTGTCACATTCGAAGCTTCAACTACTTCGATGCCACAACTATCGATAAGTTATAGCTAAACGCAATGTAGTGATGAAATGTCAACCGATTACTTTTTCAATTGGCGCGTTAAATTAAACACTTAATTTATTAAGCTTATTTAATGTGGATGTTGTAGATACATAAAGTATGATAAATTGAGGAATTTTTGAGGTAAAATCTATAAGATATCGTTTGAGCTATTCATTTTAAAGAAAATTTGAATTCTAAGTATGGTACTTCTCCACACGTATTACAATTATTCTCAAGAAACAACAAGGCTTCCTATTGCTACACAAGCTGTGCTTCTTCAATCAGTTTCCTATTTAGCATATTTGTTTTACTATATTCAATAACAAGCTGGGAATGTCTGATGCTGCTGAGATCAATTCGACGCAGTCGCATACCCAATTGATTGAAGTGCAGGTGCATCATGTGGGTGTTACAGCCAAATTGCAATCGCCTTTGAAGAAGTTACTGCCCCAGTTGAGCAGTTCAACGGATACGGAAATCTACCAGCATCCGAAATCTAAGTACAACATGTTTGAAAACGAGGGACAAGGCGACACAACAGCAACGAACACAACTGGGCTATCGAGTCCGCCGTGTGTGCTCTACGAAATGCATGCGGAGCCAGAGAAACGTGTCTCCAAGCCGAATCGCATTGAGTTCCAACGCTACTCGAGGAGCAAGTGCACCCGCATGCCGGTGCCGCCGCGCAAACGTGCGACTAGACCACAACCATATGGGTCCAAAGCAAAGGAGATGCAGGAGCCGAAACATCATCATTCGAAGCAGCTGTGTCAGGAGCATCGTCCTGGCTTTCTGGAACGCCTGATGGCCTCGCTGGACAACATGTGCAAGTGCCAGCCTCAGCATGCTCACAGCATCATCGACGATCTGCCCTCGCCGAAGTGGAACAAAAAGGCCGCCGCCCGACACACTTGCATCGGCATCTATCCCTTTGAGCACGGCTGCGCCGACTACTTGAGCACCACGGATACGCATCCCAAGATTAATTCAATTGTCCTGGCAGATCGAGCCACGACATATGCCACACATTTTTGGGCCGAGTTCTTTGGACTACTGCACATTGCCGTCGCCTTCGTGGTGTCCTTTCTGCTGCAATCCTACCGATTCCTGCTCTACTCTCTGGTCAACACTCTGATTGTGGGTCTTCTCCACACGACCTCCGATTATTTGGTCAAGCCCTTCTTGACGGTGATCTTCAATGGTTTCCTCCAGCCGCCGATGATATTTTTTTATAATATCATGTGCTCGCTGCGCGATATTTTAGAGCCCCTCGCCGAGACATTGGCTCACTTTATCAAGCCATTGGCCACGCTGGGCTCCAGCCTGAGGCTGATCCATGTCAACTATCGCAATGTGCGTCGCTTTAGCAAGGATGTGTGAGCCGTTTCTTCATCTGTTTTTAATTATTTTGTATCAAATTGTTCTCAAATGTTTAAAGAAGTTTAGTTGTTGCTTTAAATTTGCTCTCTGCTGTTTCATTTTATAACGTTTCGCTTGGCATTGCCCACTGTTTCATTCCATTTGGTTCCGGCTGCGGTAGGAGGAGCCTGTGCTATCAACCCTCAAGCAGATTGCTCTCCCAGCTGTCGCTGTCGCTGCTCTCGCACCCAGCAACAGGATTATATTGGACATACCTTGTTCCGCTGATGCAACACAATCTTACGCACATAGATATATAGAAATCGGATCGGGTTACATTGTTTGCTTCGCTTGTTCATGGAACTGTGCAACCATAACGACCTGGTTGCCCAGCTCTGCCCTCACTCCCGCTCCAGCTCCAGCTCCCTCTCCCTCTCTCACTCCTCTGCTAGGGGTGGTTCGAGCTCAGTTGGGTTTGAGCTCAATTACGTTGAATGAAACATTTATGATTTATTTGCTCATTTCGTGGCTGCGAGCGCACAGGGGGCAATGCCCAACATATGCCCACTATAGCCAACGCCTCTGATTGTTTTAAAGCGACTAATTATATCCCACGAGAGTTTTTTGATATCCTTAATAATTTACAATTTTTGCGCCTAATGAAGCACATTAAGAAAGTAGTACAAAAATAATGAATGCATACAGAAATCTGTTTTCTAAATTTAAAAAACATATATTTATGTATATATTATATTTTAACCTAAAATGGATATGCCGAATATTGCAAATTAACTAACGACGATATTACTTAGTAGCATGAATTATATATAAACACTGAACTGAAATTATATTTACTTGCTAAATATACAAAATATTTATTTATTTATTTTTTTTTTTTTTTTAGAGATTTGACACTACTTAAAATGTTGGGAATATAGATTTAAATATATATTCTATATATATTTTTTTATGATTCATAAATTGCTTAAAAATTTCCTAAATATATTTTTAAACAGAGAAACCCATTTTTATAGAAATCTAAAATATTAAAAAAATATATAAATATATTTCTTTAGCAAATTTCTTTCTAGCAGCTGCTCTTATCAGCAGTTTTGCTTCCGCATTCACTTTGCTTTAAGAAAAATTCGAAAGAATTGGCCAAAACTCCTAATCAATTGAAAAGATCTAGAAAATGATATTTATCAATGGATTATAGCTGCTCTAGTTTCCGTGAATCACTCCCGAGGCCTTCTTTTCACGTTTCACAATGAAATTCTTGGCAAAAGTGTAACCCCATCCAACATCTATATATATGTATGTACATATGTACAGCTCTTAAAATTTTAGCTTATGCTAGTATACAAATACTAGAAAAACAATTCAAGTTTCGCTCTGTATACAAATAATTGATAGTTGTAAGTGTGGAAAAAAGTTTTATTTGTTATTTGAGTAAATGGAAACCTCAAGAGCCAGCGACGCTTCATTAATGAGAACTAATAAGATTGTTGTGAGAGAGTGTGTGTGTGTGTGTGTGTGAGTATTCCATTGACTAAGAATCATCTTACAGCGAGCATATATAGATAGTCACAACCACACAACCCTTGCCAGCCAATTAGCTTTAGACTCTGACTATATCTGAACATATGTTGGCTTAAGACCTGAACATTGATTGATTTCCGTAACTAATTGGTGCACGATTTTCCATTTGAGTGAAAACTGAAGAATATTAATTGGACTTTCGCTCTGTCTTCCTGCCTCTATGCGCTCTAAATACATGAAGCTGGTCCACCAATACCCGAGGAACATTTCTATTGAACAATTGTTGACAAGGTGCGAAAATCAGGTTGCTACACGGCACAATAGAAATGCGTTTGCCCATTATTGTGCGATCGACAAGCGGATAAAGGATGCTGCACAAAAGATCAGACATTGTGACTACAGTTCATGAATGGGATAGACAACAGCAGCAGCAGCAGCAGCAGCCACATAAATGACAAAACACTTTGCAGACACATTTGTTGGGAATTTTGGGATTAGAGCTGTTTAAGCTGTTTTCCAGTGGGTTTGTCGCTCCATTTATCTGGGCTACGGATTATGATGTCGCACAGGTTATTTCTGTTTAAGGATTGCGTTGGCTAACAGCATGACGTTAGCTAAATTCTACAGCAAATGTTTATGTCTCTCATTGTTCCTCTTTGCCAGAAGTTAAGCAATTTGTGTGCACTCGAGTAAAGTGACAATGGACTTGGGTTATATAAGAAGTTGGGAGTAAAACGTTTTGAATATCTATATGTATTGGGCTAGAGATTTATGAAACTAAAGGGTGTCACATGACAAAGGGAAAGAGATTAGCCTAGATCAACTTAAGAGTTTGATAAATATTTTTTATGATGCATATTTACATAATATATACATATACTGTAAAAACTACTTATATATATGTCTGTATGTATATACATACAAATATACCCAACAGATCCTCGGTTCTCACTTGTAAATGCATTCTCTGTGCCCGCCTGCATTCAGTAGTAGAACCGGACACCGAGGCAGGCAGGCAGGCAAAAAAAAAAAAGAACAGAAGCTTTTTTGCTACGCTCGGCAAAACACAATAGTGTGGGAATCAAGGCGCGTCGCTTCGCATGGCTCGAAAAACTTGTTATTGGGCATTGCTTGGCAGCTAAGTCCTGACACGTGATTGCCATAATCAAATAAACAATATTAGCTTAATGCGATTACAAGCCTCTCTTTGCGGTCAATTAGCGGACAACAACACCCACCCAATAAAGTCTTTACTCCTTTGCTGCTGCCGTCGATATATGTATGTATGTATGTAGCTAGGTTAGCTGCCGTTCAAACAGCATGATATCGTTGATCCGTGTTACCCGTTACATAACTCACGTGTGTATATGTATTATACAATTAGCATAATATCTTATTCTGATTTTCGTAATGGGAGCTGTTCCTGTGACGCAATTTGACTTCTGGAGATGGCCACTTGCAATTCTTTTAATTAGGTGGCAATATCTTTATATTAACAAGTTCATTTGAACAAAAGCTAGTGTCAAACAAATAATTATCGATAGTCCACAAGAGTCACATCCTTATTCTGACAAGTTCAAATGAACAGCGAATAAATCTGGCTGCTCTTAAGCTTCATTTTTAGCCACCTCAAAAAGATACTTATTGAAAATAAGAAATGCACCTGTGTTGCTGTCAACGTGCAGGCCGCGTGTTCCTCAATTTATGCGCCCCTTTGGATTGATCGCTCAATGCTATAAAGCTGATGCTGTGTAAAATTGAAAACTCCCGTGTGAGCTGAAATTGGGACAGGCTCGGGGATTTGGTTGTGTGTGACGAAATTGTCAACCCTCCTAATATCAGTCCTAATGAATTCTTTCCAACAACAACAAATATGTTGTTGCTGCTGCTGCTGCTGCTGGCAACCATTGTTTAGCCTTTTTGTGGATTTGCTGCTGTTGTCACCTTTGTCATGTCACTATTTTATCACACCATTTGAAGTGGCGCACACCGATTTTAATGCCTGTGAATGAGAGGAACAATTTTGTAATTGAAATTTGATGCCATTAGATGACAAATGACAAAGACAGCAGCAGAAGCAACATTTTTTGCAGCCCCTTTATCAGTCTGTCCGTCCGGCTGTCTATCTGTTTGTCTGTGCAGTTCAGTTTTGTTGCCTGCTGTTGCTGTGCGGGGCATCAAATTGCATCGCGTTTTTGGTGACTTTAACAACTGATTTTATATGCAAACTCTAACAAAAATAGCATTTAGCAATGCTCAAGAAATTTGATGTAAATTCTAAGAAATGCACACGGCATTCATCAGCTACTACCATTGAGACGCAAACGAGGTCAACATGTTTTATTTTTCAATTGAAATGTTCACGTTAAGCATTAGATAACATAATGCAATACAGCTTAACAGACGCACACAGACACGCACACACACCCATACAGCTGTGCATGTGTACATAGTCAGGTTTGGCTGGCCTGTTATTGGCAAGCATTGAAAATGGCGCCGGCTATGGCTAGGCAACGCCCATCGTGCAGGACAAGCCAAATGCGAATAAGCCACCCCTAATTAGCGTGCTCACGCACAGCAACCAACTCACACACACACACAGTCACACATATACGTGCAGCCAGCAAGCCCTTTTACAACGTTTCGTTTCCAAACGTTTCAGGCACAGGCAGCAACAGTCGCCGACGCAGCCTTGAATGCAGTTCCATTTCATTCGTCAACGCGAGCGTCGCGCGCTCTCTCTTTGCCACTTGCAGTTGAGTTTGAAAAGCGAAAGCGTCGCGTTGCTATCAACGGGAAGAAAAATATTTGAGAAAAAAAAAAACCAAGGAAAAAACTGTTAGAATATTACCAAAGTTTACAAAAGTGTTTTAATAAGTGAAAATAGTGTGTTAAAAAAAAGTTTAAAAAGTAAATGATTTAGTTAAATAGTCATATATATATTTGATTGAAAACTGTTAACGTTCAGCTTTCAAATATGTTCGAAAAGAATATGGATAGCACAAATCTCTCGGTGTCCATCAACGGAGACCTGGACTCGACCAGCTCCGCCGGCACAGCATCCGATCATTCCGCCGTGCAGCACGACAATATTAGCTCGCCCATGGCCTACGGCTCGCTCTTTCTGCCAAATGCTGGTAAGCCATAGCCAATTTAATATATATATATATAGATCGGATTACATGAAACAGGCGTCAATAAGGCGCTGCATAAACAATTACCATCGGAGACTCTTGTTTTTTATGTTTTAATGTTAATTTCCTTTTTTTGCTGAAGATTTCACATTTCTCAGGCACTGAATGAGCTTCAGAAATGCAATATAATATATACATACATAGCTATTGCATAAATAAATGCTGTCTATTAACAAATTATTGCCATCAGTCAAATAGGTAAACTGATCTAGGCATTTGCATTCTTCTGGGATAAATATTTGCATAGATATTGTTTTACAATTGAAAAAAAAATCATGAATATTTAAACCAGGATTATTTTAGAATCTTAGTTGGCAGCACATTTTGGGAAATTCTTTTTATGAAACTTTATAGAAAAAGAAGAGAATAGAGAAGAGTACAACCATTATATGATGTACTTACTTTTACTTGCTTTTTAAGTAAACGAAAAAATTGTCAATAAATTATTTAACAATTAGTTTTCAAGTTTGTTTGATAATAATTATCAAAGAAACCATAGGCTGTTTGTTTTATGAAGTTTCTTATCTAAGCTCATTAAGGTCCTCTCTATACTATTCCTTAACACTCAAACTTTTAGTAAATTTCGAAATTCACTTACTCAATTACTTAATTATTCCATACTCAAATATGTTTAGGAATTCAATATATTCAATATGTTTCTTTAAACTCCAATTCGACTGCGCAGTATTTACATTGGCTTTTGGCATTCCTTGGCGTACTTTCCACTCATTAAACAAAAACACAATTCAATTGTTTTATAATATATTTACATAGCACTAATTATGCATATAATATATACAATATACATACATGTATGCGCATATTTATGTATATAAGGTGGTATCAGATATCGTTGTATATATGTATGTATATACATATTTTGCATGATGTCTCTTTCTGGTCTATATGGTATTGTTTGCTATGTCTGAAGTCTGAGGTCTGAGGTGTCGAAAGTCAGAATTTTGATTAGTCACATGCAATTCGTAGGCCACGAGGGGAGTCCAAATTCAAGTGGGTTGTGGGAGAGTTGAAGGGGAGCTGGAGAAGCCGAGCTATTGCTGAACAGCAAAGTAGCACGTGAGAATGAATTCTCTTGCGTCAATATGTAATGTGTAGATGGAAAACATAAAAAACATAAACACTTAATGGTAAAAAAATATTTAAATAATTTTCACACGTGCCATTTAAATGTTTCGGCTATGAATTGGAGAAGTTCTGCGATAAAAGTGAAAATATTTATAGAGAATTATTACATTTAAAAGTTCCATTGAGATGGAGAGAGAAATAGACTGTGTGTAAGAGAGAGAGAGAGGGGTAGAGAGATGGAGAAGGAGAGAGAGAGGGAGAATCTGTGTGTGAGAGTGAGAAAGAGAGGGAACAAAAATGGAAGAGATCAAATTAGAGAAAGACGAAGTATGCAGTGAAAGAAAGAGGGAGAGAGAGAGAGAGAGTGAGATAGAAAGCGAGAGCGAGAGGGAAAGAGAAGTATCATTGATCACTACAGCAAAGCTAAGCTTATTTCTACACTTCGTACTCTAACTATTCATTGAAATTAAATGATATATTTACACTTTTTAGGGTTTTAATTATCGACATATTCATTAATAATCTTTAATCTTTGTCTAAGGAAAACAAAAGGAAAGTCAGAGAATTATAGACGATACAAATATATTTAAATATTTTTGTCTGCTTAATATTATCATATTTCTCAAAATAAATCCCTTGCAATTGCTCGTATTTAAAGATTTCCAATCTCATCTCATCTGCTCTATTTATTTCAGGCTACCGTGGCAACATTTCGTGCAAAACAGTTTTGCAGCTGGACAAATTCGCGCCGTATGAGGCGAGCGAAAAGGATTTGATTGAGCGTCGCTTTCAGGACATCACGAATGACTATGACAAGTCGCCGCCACCCACAGCATCCACGACGCCCACGCACTATCCCACGCTGAACAGCATCATCTTCGAGAACGGCAGCAGCAGCCTGGGCGATCTCAATGGCAATACCAAGTCGGATGGCCTCTGTGGCGGCCTGCAGCGCGGATCCGCTGGCTTGGGTGGCGGCGGCAGCGGCGGTGGTGGTGGCGGCCTAAGTGGTGCATCGAGTGGCGGACATCTCATCTCGAATCTGACTGCGGCGCATAATATGTCCGCCGTTGGCAGCTTTCCCATTGATGCCAAGATGCTGCAGTTCTCCACAGATCAGGTGAGTGGGAGATGGATGATAGCCAAAGGAACGTTAGTTGAATATCAGTTTACCCCGATACAGATTCAGTGCATGTGTGAGGCACTGCAGCAAAAGGGCGACATCGAGAAGCTGACAAACTTCCTTTGCAGCCTGCCACCCAGCGAGTTCTTCAAGACGAACGAGAGCGTGCTGCGGGCACGCGCCATGGTGGCCTACAATCTGGGCCAGTTCCACGAGCTGTACAGCCTGCTGGAGACGCACTGCTTCTCGATCAAGTACCATGTGGACCTCCAGAACCTGTGGTTCAAGGCGCACTACAAGGAGGCGGAAAAGGTGCGCGGCCGTCCGCTCGGTGCCGTGGACAAATATCGATTGCGCAAAAAGTATCCGCTGCCAAAGACCATCTGGGATGGTGAGGAGACAGTCTATTGCTTCAAGGAGAAGTCACGCAACGCTCTCAAGGATTGCTATCTAACGAATCGCTATCCCACGCCCGACGAAAAGAAAACGCTGGCCAAGAAAACGGGCCTCACGCTCACCCAAGTCTCCAATTGGTTTAAGAATCGCCGGCAAAGGGATCGCACACCACAGCAAAGATCGTAAGTATATCGAGTATATATGTATTCTTTTATATATTTTCTATGTCGCCCAGAAACTAATTACAATATGTTTTCCACATAACTCGTAAAACAATTCATGTTTCTCTCGCACTCGCTCTCGAAAACCAATTCAATTGTTTTTCAAAAATTGGCATTTAAAAATTCGTTTAAGTGACCGTAAAACACTTGCCTCGGCATCGAAGTCCCAATTCGAGTTCCCTTACGGTTCGCCACGGTCCGATGCCATTTTTTTTTTGGTTTTTTTTTTTTCTGAAAGGGCACTTGAGCGTGTTTTATGTCCAATTTTGCAGCTCCTTTTACCCTATTTATAGACGGGCACTGGTCGCCAACGTTGCCCGTTGCCCATTGCCTGGTGCCCGTTACTCGAATGCGCATGCGTGTAGCATGTGCCTCAATTGTTGCCGCATGCCCCGCTGTGTTTGATCACTTACAGGCGTCAAATTCCATACACTCTCTAACACACGCACACACTCAAATACATATATATGCACACATTTAAATACATATATATTTTTCTTCTCTTTACAGTGATATAATGCTGCCTGTGGGTCAATTGGATGCGAACGGTTTCCCGCGCATGTTCAACGCCCCCAGCTATTATCCCGAATCCATTTTCAATGGACAGTAGAGTGAAGAATGTGGCAAATGCGCAGGCGCTGCTTTGTAAATACATCAGTTTTAATGTTACATTTTTGGGTCATCAAATGACGTTATGTTTCTAGTTTTTAATTTGCTTTATATTACTGTACAATAATAATAATGCAATTGCAATAAATAAATATAGAAAAAAACAATGTTTAAATAAATAACGTATTTTTATTTGGCTGGGCAGCACTAGACTTATTTTTAGTGTGCTATAAAAATAAAAGCTATTATCGATTGATAAAAAGTATCGATAGCTCTTGTATAAAATTGTATAAGAGTAATTTAAATTTGAATTGTAGATAAGTTGCAATCGAATCGTATAAATAAAAATACGAATTATATTATATAAATTTGAGACAAAAGTTCTTGTTTGAATATAAAAAAAAAAAAAAAAAAGTGCAGTGTGACCGTTGCAATGTAAACTAACAGTTTAAAATAGAGCAACAAATCGATTAGATATTCATCGGTTTTCGATTGTGTTGCAGGTGCTGAAAAAAACACAATAAACGTATCGACCACGGAATGACAGATAACTCAAACGGACGACTAAGCGAATATTTCGCCAACGATCCGCCCAGCTTTTTTGATGAGCTGACAAACAATAAATCCAAGCCCAAGGATATGCAGCCAGCAAACACCGCTGAACCAACCAACAGTAACAATATGCTGGGCAGCACATTTACGGGCAGCTTTCAGCCTCCTGAATACGTAGAAACAGCTGAAGCTGATGAGCCTATAAAAGTGAGCGATGAGGTGAGAAACCTGTGGCAGCTGCCCACACCAATTGAAGCGGGCAAGCAGGCAGCACATCTGATTATGCCAGGCATACACATAGCTAACGATTTGGTAAATAATAAGTAATAAACATAATAATAAAGCAAATATATCGAACTGTTTATACATTTTATTGCAGCCCGATCCCATTTGTATAGCCGTAACTCAACATTTAGGAGAAGCTGAATTGCAACAACGTAAAATTCTCGCAGTTAAAGATGTGACGCAAGATGAGCGGGGAATACGTACATTAATCAATGCTGGCTGCTTCCGTGCGGCGGTCAATCTAACAGGTAGACTGCTCACCATCTATGGCCAGGGCTATGGTCGTGCTGGTCAGCCAGCGAAACATTCGCCGCATTCGCTTCAATTGTGGTTTACGCGCCTCGCATTGCTGGCCAAGCTGGGGGAATACGAGCTACTGCAGGCAGAGGCTGAACCATTTGGTCAACTAAATGCACCCGATGTCTTTTACGAGTATTATCCAGAGA